TTTGGACAACCTTCACATCTGATTGTACATCAATCAGCTTCTCGTCCGTATCTTCCAAATTCGATTCTGCTGGTGGTGTCGGATGGGCGAGTTGCAAGGTATTTTGATCATTGTCTAAAAAAATCGTGGGATTCAAGTAAGGTTTACCGGATTTGGGAATATAAGGTGATACATTTGTAATGGAAGAGGCAGATGCTCCAGGCGCTTTGGGTTCTTCTTGCTCATCTCCATCGCCAATAACCTGCTTCTTCGCACCAGAAAGGTACACAAAGGGATGGTAAATTACAGGCCTGTGTCAGCGTGGCTCATGAATACTAGAAGGCGATAATTGTGAGGAAAGAGACTTACTTTTGATTTTTTGAGGGGTTCGACAATAGTTGGTTGAACTGAGCGGACACCTATAGAGTCAATAAAGTAATGATATGTGAATTTTGATGATTAGTCTCCTTGTGCTATGATGATATGTACCTTTTGCAACTCGTCTTTTTGCTTGGGGTTTGTCCTCGAAGGATACAGATCTCTTCCCCAGATGACCAGTCTCCGCCAAACTGAGCTTTGAGGGCATTCTCGAACGTCGATTTTGTGACGGAAGTGATTGTTGGTCTAGCAACCCAGAACCGCTACAGTCGGTAACAAGTCGAGATCCAGCTGCTTCTGAGTTGCGAGTCGCAGTGTTAGATCCAGATTGTGTGACGCCAAGCTTTGTTGAGGATGGATTCTTAGGTTTTGGGAATACTGGTTTGCAAGGATGTGAGATCATTTATATCAGCTATGAATCTTAACAAGTTCTCTGCTTCATGAAGATCATAACGTTCAAAGCGAGATGTACTTACTATGAGGCTGCATCTCGCGCACAATATCTGCAATGTCAGATTTATGAAGAGAGCCACTAACCGCTCGTTTTGGATGATGTATGCGTAACCAATCGAGCATCATTTGCTTTCCGACTCCTGGAGTATCCGGGTCTAGAACTACTGGATTAGACATTGTGAGATTTTGTAAATATCTTCAAGGTGATCAAGATGGAGTGTGATGTGGTCATTTAGATCGGTTCATGATGGAATCGCGAGTTGTACATTAATTCGATAGAAAAACGATGAAGATCTGAGTGTTGATGAGTTGCGATGAACAGTGAGCCAGAACACGCCATGTTTAAAATTTGTGAGCTTGGTTACACACTCCAGACTTATGTAAATTTTTGTATTAAAATCATTTTCGAAATCTGTATGTATATTTACGTAACCTGATTCATTTGTCAAAATTGACATAGATCCCTTACAATCTGACTACGCTGCCAGCATCTTTCTTGCCCAAAGGCTTCATCAATGTGTATATCACTTTACCATTGTATCTTGGGTCATCTGTACATACATTATTTTTGTAATGAGATTAGTTTTGAAATGTGTGATCTGATTTTTGTATTAAAATCATTTTTGAAATCTGTACGGCATACATTAAATTTTTTGTAGTGAGAGTCTAGTCCTAAAGTGCAGCAAAACGATGAAGAAAGATATACAAACTGACCTCCTGGTTGAAAGCCATCTGAGCGACCTCCATACGCGCCTCTTACTGTACATTTCAAAAAAGATTCCTTCTGAATGGAAAATCCAACATTTTTCAGCAATATTTGAAAGAAAATACCGTACTGAGTCCCATCACTTCAGAAGCGCAATTTCGATGATAATATGGCGGTCGGCTATGAACCCTCATAAGCAGGGCGTCAGCGTGATTGGCTTCCAAGAATAACTCATGAATTGAGGTGAGAACACGAGAATGGAGCGTACTATGTGTGATTGGCAACATCCCAGCGCGGACTGAATATCAAGAAGTCCGCCAGCGGCTTACCTCCACTGGCAGATGGGCAGGTGAGCACACAGACTGGTGTTTACATCCGCGTATCTCATCAGACCATCTAGCAAATGAAGAAATCTTCAAGTTTGGATTCAGAAAGAAAGACCTACAGATTGAAGGATCGATATGATCCACCGAAATGGAACCAACATTCACGAATCGACTCAAATCATAACGGAATGGCGCATAGTTTCCTGATATGGATCAAATACAACGCAAGAGTCAAAGTAAGTGTCTATCTTTCTCCATTAGAGAATCTCATGTTGAAAATTGGAAAGGCTCAACCATGCCATGCCACCACATCAAATGGAGTATGAGATTGTCGGCAGCTATGTAATTCTCCTTGAACTTTGTAAACAATTTCCCATTCCTTTTGACCATAATCTGATCTTCCCTCAAAGCTAGCGATTGGATATTCAAAGTCGCGTTCCAATGCCAGACCAGAATGTCCTAGTGGTCCAAGTTCAGGTAGCTCAAAGCCTGATCCAAAGCTTTCGAAGATGTAGCCACGTCCAGTTGTGGTACCTTCCGACAAAAGCACCTTGAACCGAATTCCGCGTGGAACTACACAAATCATCCCATTAGGTACACTCATCTTCCCTAGTTCAGTCTGGACTATCAGTGTCCCGAGTTGAGGGACGATGAGCAAATGACCATCGGTCGAAACAAATGCTCTTTCGCCCATAGAGCAATTGAACATATCTGTTGATCATTTGGGGTGGCAAACACTGAACCGTTAATGATTGGAGGCGCATATATTTCGAAATTTGGAGCCTGCACAGGTTGGAAATGAACTCACAGACATGAATTGCTAATCCTTCGCCCAAACCCGGTTCACCACACCCTGCTCACATTGTCATTTTACTACTCACTGGCAGGCCAGTGAGTACGTCCACCTCAATCCAATCTCAATCCAATCTCAAATCCATGTCAGTTCAATATCAATCCAAACTCAATGTTTGGCCTAGAGTAGCAGACAAATAACCTTCCAGAATGAACTGGAATAAAGTTTGGTTGCATGTCCACACATGAAGGTGTCAGAATGTCTGGAAGGTTTGTGTGATTATGCAGCCCATGCATATCCCCCACTCAAACATAATTGGAGGTCAAACTGACATTGAACTGACATTGAACTGACATTGAATTGAGGTGAATGGAACTCACTGGCCTGCCAGTGACTAGTAAAATGACACTGTGGCTATGGTTTTTAATCCATCGACGAAATCTACTCGCTTCTCTCCTGTTGAATCAGGGATGGGGAATGGCCTCCAAGCCAGTTGCGTTGGTGAGACGTATACTTTGGGATTGAGCGTTGAAAAGTTTGCCTCGAGCTGAACATGAAGGTAAGCAACCCATCTTACAGCGTTAGTAGTCCGTAGCGCGAGCGCGTTTTCCTCATCGTTTTCTCAAATAAAGGAGTCCACGAACATCAGGATTGGTGGGTAGCTTTTTGAAGCCTTGATGTACCACAGCCGGGCGGATCCGGTACATCCACCTGAATCGCAACAAAGTTCGACGACGACTCATTACACAATCTTGATGACGAATCGGCAACAACGGTCAAGCTTACGTCCTTCGATTCTTTGCTCTTGGGGTCTCCACAAAGGAAGTGCCGGTCAGCTGTTCCGCATATAAACCATCTAATCACGAGAAACCACTACTCATCAGCTACCAAAACATCTGCATTAACCATCGACTCACTAAAAGCAGACTCACATTTCACATGTTGAGGACTATTCTGACCAACGGGTAAAACGCCGGGAAGAGCTTCGCTTGCAAAGTTGTTTCCGAACCCGGTGTTCTAGGCATTCATTGTGACCTATGAGAATAGCAGTAGGACGACGTGAAGGGGATGACAAGGTCATGATTGACGTACGTATATAAAGGTGGATTCACTCATATTCACTGCTTGACTTTCTAGATCTGTACAAGATGATCAGGAAGAAAGCTGAGGAAAGCTATACGTTATTTTCCTCACTAATTCAGAGTTTGTTTGTTGAGAGAACCAATATGACGTCATCTTTGCTTTGGTCGGCCGTGGGAAGAAAACCTGACATACATAGGGGCCGGGCTTTCATGTTGTTTAGCACCGGGGACGGTTTGTTTTTTCTCGGATCAGGATAAGACCGAGAATTGTATTCCGATTCGCGGTCTTAAGATTTGATGTGACCCGCGGACCAGATAAAAAGCGATTAACTCATAAATTGTTTTTCATCCCCCAAAAAAACCCACTCATTTCTCGACATTTTTCGATTCAGATTGCTTAATCTTCAAATGGCTAGAACAAAGCAAACATCGCGTAAGCGTAAAAGGCCAATCGGCGAAGATAATCAAGCAAATACCCCTGCTGCCAAGGTCGATTCTCAAGTCATGGGTGTACCGGGAAAAGCACCCCACATTATGCCCAGAGTAGGTTTTCAATCAAAAACCGATGTCTTACTTGACTTCTTGCGATCCTGATGGATGGACGATATCGAAGAAAACTCAGACACATTCATATCGCGTCTTCTTCCAAGCCGACACTTCGATGATCTAATTTTGATTGATGTGTTAAATTTCAATAGAAACGCTTCTATCGTCAACGTGCACATGCAAACCCATTCTCGGATCACAATTTGGAATAGTCAGTTGAATTTTTCATATTAGGTTCAGGTTATTTGGAGGATATCCGACTAAGACTACAACAATTTCATGAATGCATGTGTCCTTACATTTTCTTGTTGATGGGTATTGATACGTAGTCCGACATCTCCCGAAAAAATGAATTGGAATGATCATTACCCTAGCTTCTTTCCTTCTCCTGAGGTTAAAGTGGACGAGAATGAAAAAGTTCAAGATTTGAACGTAAATCACAAAGTAGAATTTGCGGATGTGGGTTGCGGTTTTGGTGGTTTACTTGTGGCCTTGGCTCCTTTATTTCCAACTACACTTATGCTAGGTTAGTCTGGCTTCATACGACAAATTTATTTTTCGAACTTTCGCTACTGAGATAAAAAAAGGATCTATAAATCGTCTTATGTCTGACCTTTGCCATTTCTCACGCACTCTTCATATCAATCTAGGTATGGAAATCCGACCGCATGTGGCTCAATATGTGCGGGACAAGATTTGGGCACTTCGAGCCCAACAAAAAATGATGAAAGGATCTACAGATACGCCTGCTGTAACCTCCGATGTAGATGGGAAAACCTCTCAAGGAGAAGCTTCATCTACCTCCATCGTTCTTCCTGCAGTTCCGCCTTCAATGCCTGAATTTGTTAAAGCGGTTCATAAGGAGAATACTCCTAATCCCGAAAATGATGAAGACGATGATGACGAGGCTCCAATCTTGGTACCTAAAGATGGCGCGTTTGAGAACGTTAGCGTGATTCGTGCGAACTCGATGAAATTCCTTCCCAACTTCTTTCAAAAGGCACAGGTGAGTTTTTATCATTTATACTCTTATTCTTTTTCCCCTAAGCATCAGTTGATGTGTATATTGCAATGTGGTTTGGATGGCTTACATTTTACTCGGATTATATCATTTCAGTTGAAGAAGATGTTCTTTTTGTTTCCTGACCCGCATTTCAAAGCCAGAAAACACAAGGCACGCATCATCTCGTCAGTCTTCTTTTCTTCTTGTCAATGTAAAACCTCAAACTGGCCACAACTCCTACTAATGAATTGTGCGGCTGTCTTCACTTTTCATTCACCAGACCAACGCTTTTATCCGAGTACGGTTATGTCTTACAGCCTAATGGTTTACTCTACACCATCACAGATGTTCATGATTTACATCTCTGGATGGTTAAGCATCTAACCAACCATCCACTTTTTATACCTGTATCCGAAGAATCCTTAATATCAGATGACAAAGAAAAACAAGTAGTAGAATCTATTCGACAAAGTACAGAAGAGGGTAAGAAAGTAGCCAGAAATAAAGGTGATAAATATTTAGCTGTCTTTAGAAGAATCAGTTTAGAAGAAGAAAATGCATTGTTGTCTGTTGAGGTCGAATAAAATCACGCGGTTGAAATATTGTGCAAAACGTCAGGTTACTTTGTTCCTTGTGAAATTCGGTTTATTCACCAATCATTATGGAGTAATCTAATTTTTGAACTAGCACTCCTAGGCTCGGATTACAATCAAAGGTCTGAATCATATCCCAAGCCAGATCTCGTCTCCTTGGACATGTCCAGGAACGACCAATACATTGACATTTGCAAAGATCTTTGATGTCGGAACTTGGTCGGTGAGAAGAACGAGAAGAAAGGAGTTCAGCCTATGTAATGAACCCAACTGGCAGCCCAGCGCGCCAGTTTCCATACATACGGCCAAATTCGGGATTTGGAAAGTACAAGGATGATGTTTCAGTCTTGGAGACGGTGGTGTGCATACATGTGTGCATGGGAAATCCCTGGGAATTGATCAGGTGAATTGTGACTCGTGAGCAGCCTCATTTGAGGTATGTGGCGTGTCGCCAGGGAGAGAGACAATCGTCATGATCGACATCAAGATCAATCCGTGTTCGCGTCATCGAAATCCGGTCGAGAGTACCGGAAAAGAAATGCAAAAGGTAGCTGTCATAACTTGTGCTTTTGCCGGAGCGCAGCCGGAGCTCAAGTATTTGCCCGATGGGCAGAGTGGAGAGAGGGGAATTCTGAACTCGAACCACTACAGTCAACTTTTCCGCAGTGACTGCGGGACCGCGATTCAACCTCCTTTCGTCTTATCCTTTTTCCACCAACACCACCACCTCAACACCCCTATAATCTCTTTAATAGCTCTCAGAATCTCTATATGCCGCCCGATCCGTCATCTATCCTCCAAAACAATCGATATCGACCGTTGGCGCCGCGCTCGAACGTGTTAAACACGCGTCACGACGCGATGGAGAACTCAAGTGACCAAGACATGACGATGGACCCAGCACCACCTACGATGCAAAGGCTCGAGAGCCAGTCGTTCTCCCGGATCTGGGAGGAACTGTCGAAAAACCCACTCGAGAACGGCGACGTTGTTGTACCCGCGCGACTAGTAACGATCATAATGGCATTCGGTTTGGCAATGGAGGAGACGAAGCTCAAGCTCAACGCAATGGAAGAGCAACTCAAACTGGCAAACGACTCGTCGAAACGTTTGGAAAGACTGGAACAACAATTCCAAGCTTTAAGCAAGGGACAGCCGATCAACCCAGCTCAGCAACCGACGCCGAATGGACTCCCTCCGAAACCAATGTCGTGGACAGCAGCTGCAAAAAACAGCTTAAACGTCACATCGAGTCAGACCCCACAACCGCCACCACCAGCCAAGATAGTCAACGTGTTCCGCCCAAGCCAAGTCATCATACGCCCCACCAACGTGGATGGAACAGCAGGAAGGAAACCATTCAAGGATCTAAAGTCTACGGAAATTGTCAACCGAGTAAATCAAGCGCTAGCACAACTTGAAGTAAAGGTTGCAGGAAAGAAGCTCGAAGTTAGAGGCGCGGCAAGTTTACCATCAGGAAGCGTCAAGTTATTTACGGCAACACGCGCAGAGGCCGACTGGTTACTAGAACATCGTACTGAATGGTCAATACTAGCTGACCCTGATTTGAAAACTTCCCCTGCAGTGTTCCCGGTTGTAATCGATTCAGTCCCCACGGAAATGTACCCGGAAACCGATGCTGTTAGACAAACTTTGATTGAACAGAACCCAATCCCAAGCGACAAGATCCACTCAATCCGTTGGTTAAGCAAACCAAATCAGACAGGCCAGATCACCGGTTCCATCTTAGTCAATCTGTTGGATAAAGAGCTGATGAATTTGATGATCAGAGGTTCGGTTTATTATGAAGGCAACAGCTTACGGGTTAGGGTGTGCAAGAAGACTCGTGTACAATGTTTTAGATGTCAAGAACCAGGTCATATAAGCGTGCAATGTAAAAACAAAGTTGTTTGCAAACACTGCGGAGCCGACCATGACTCTAGAACTTGTCCGAATCAAAAATCTGAGCCCCTACACTGCGTAAGATGCCTAGCCCATGATAGATCATTGAACCCTGAAGCCACGATTGATAAGACGAATATGAAGTACACCCACTCCTCCTCAAGCGCAAACTGCCCTATCAGATCAAAGGGTCTGCCAACAACATCTACACAATCATGTTAAGATACAACCAAGACCAAAATTCACGTAGTCTACCCTCTTCTTCACTTCTCCCTTTCTCTCTTCATTCCACAGATAGCTCAAAAACACCAAAAAATATAGCACCAAATGAAATGGATACTGACTTGACTGACTCTCCCACAGGAAAAAGAACTTTGAAAATCACACAACTGAACTGCTTTAACAGACAGGTTGTGGTAGAAAATTTACTAGCTGACAACTTATTTGACATACTTATTTTACAGGAACCATGGATAAACCCAGCAACATTAAGAATACTCACTCATCCGGCATGGCACGAATTCATGGCATACAACTATTTGGCGAAAACATACGAAGAAAAGACTAGAACATGCATCTATGTATCCAAGAAAATACCATCGTGGAACATTGCGATGCTACCAAGTGGATCACCATACATCACAGCGGTAGAAATAACAGGTATAGACACAGAGATCCCCAAAATTTGCTTTTTGTCAGTTTACAATCCCCCTAGACACAATACAGGTTTACCCCCGCTCGAGAACTGGTTGACAGAATCCAACGACCGACAAGTACCAACAATCATAGGCATGGATGCAAATCTCCACCACCCAAACTGGAACCCGGTGAATTATCATCACACTCACCCACTGTCAAAAGAACTGATCAGAATTTGTGGACGTGCAGGCTTCAAAATCCAGTCTCAAAAGAACATCCCGACGTTCTACCCACGAGCAAGGGGAAAGCCAACCACGATAGACCTTACGTGGATAAATCACAAATTGTCAAGAAAAAGTGTGATAGGTACAACATCAAGCAACAATTACGGGTCAGATCATCAAATGTTAAAAACTGAAATTAATTTAACTGACGAACAACCGATTCGAGAACACAACTCAGCACGTCTAGACAAATTAGACAAAGCAACCTATTGTGACGAAGTAGAAAACCGGCTAAGTAGATTCCCTGAAAACTTAACAACAACAACTGAAATTGATGAGGCCGTTGAATTGATTACAGACACGATACTCCAGTCCTTCTTAAAGCAAGGAAAGGTAGTAAAAACAAACGACCATCACCACAAAGCGTGGTGGGATGAAGAAAAGCTACGTCCTATGATAAAGGAACGAAACCGGGCCAGGAAGTGGATGATCCTAAGTGGAACATATGAGGCTGCACGGTGCTATTGGGAATGGAATAATCACGTAAAGTACCTCATTAGTGAACTCAAAAGGACACACTGGAGGGAATTCCTGGCAAAAACGCAGGGCGGACTGACCTTTAAAGCATTCAAGTATACCCAGGCACAAGGATCAAATTCAGTGGCGCCACTATATCGACACGACAGGACACTGGCAACTGACAAGAATGAACAAGCTAAGTTGTTGTTCGCTGGAACCTCAATAGTAAACAATGAATGTGACATATTGGATGTGGTAAATTTTGAACCTGGAGACGAACCACTAGATCACCCACGAATTACCGAACACGAAGTAGCAGAGGTGGTCAAAAAACTCCCATCAAGAAAAGCAAAAGGGGGCGACGGAGTCCCGAACGAACTGATCAAAACAGCTGAGTCAAGTCTAATACCAGTGTTAACAAAACTGTTTGAAGCTTGCCTGACACGAGGATATTTCCCTACAAAGTGGAAAACAGCGACGACAGCGATCCTACAAAAACATGACAAAGACGACTACTCGGAGGCAGGAGCCTATCGCCCAATAGCACTCTTAAGCTGCTTGGGAAAGGTATTCGAAACGCTAATTGCAAAAAGAATCACGTTTTGGGCCGAGACACATGGGATAATCGCGCAAGGCCACATGGGAGGAAGACGTCAACACAGCACAGATGATGCCTTTGTCATTTTAACATCATGGGTATACCACAAGTGGAGAGAAGGAAAAATAGTGTCAGGGCTATTCCTGGACGTAAAGTCTGCTTATCCATCTGTTCATAAAGGTAGACTAATTGACACACTCAGAAAACAATCATGTCCAGAATATATTGTGAGACAGATCGAGAAATACTTAGATGACAGAACCACGGACTTACGATTGCAAGATTTCCTATCCAAAAAATTTGACGTGGAAGACGGACTACCTCAAGGCTCGCCACTATCAGTAATTCTTTACATAATTTACAATTCGACACTCTTGATAAACCTAGAAGTAGACGTGAAATCAGACAAGATATCGTTAGGCTTCATTGACGACATAACACACCTAGTGGCAAACAAGGACATAGATTTAAACGTCATGGATCTCGAAGACGAAGGAGAGAAGGCATTACTATGGGGAAGGCGACATGGAGCCATCTTCGATCAGAAGAAGGCACAGGTAATGCACCTAACCCACAAGAAGCACAATAACCCTAACGTACTGTTTGGAAACCAGGTCCTCTTGCCGAAAACTGAATTGAGATGGTTAGGCCTATGGCTAGATCCCAAATTAGGTTTTGGACCGCACATTCAACGGATGCACCAAAGAGGAAAGACAACACTGGCACAAATCAACCGAATCAACAAATGTTTTTGGGGAATGAGCCCAAAGGAGACCAAAACACTGATCACAACGATACTGAAGCCACGAATATTGTTTGGATGCGTGGTGTGGTTCAACACGAAAACAGAGGGTAAAGTAACAAAAATCTTTAATTTACTACAAAACTCAGCAAACAGACTAGCGTTGGGGGCCTTCAAGAGCTCACCAATGGAACAGATGACACATGATGCTGATATGATTTCATTCAAGGAACTAGCAATAAAATACAACCACAAATTCGCCTATAAACGACTAACAGCTCCGAAAACACATCCAACAAAACGAATATTAGATAACGAATTGTTCAAAATACCACGTACCCTCTTAAGTCCTATACATAGAATATTACGAAAAGCTGACTTGTTTCTACTCAATGATATGAAACTAGAATCAATACACCCTTACCCTGAACCCCCATGGCGTGAACCAAAATGGGAGATAACGAATAAGGGGGTAAAACGAGACGAAGTTAAGGAACGAATACCGCGACAAATAGAAGAAGAAAAGTCAAACGGAGCTTGCGTGATCTTTACAGATGGATCATACTTACCTGATGTAGGAGGTGGAGCCGCGGCCGCAATGGAAGAAGGCGTATTAAAACACAACTACGGACCAATTGAGGGTATATCAAATTATGAAATGGAGGCAATGGCGCTGATTCTGGGGTTACTCAAATTCAGCACGATTATTACAGGTGATCCAGAAAAATACAACTCCGTAGCGATATTCAGTGATAGTCAGGCAGCACTAGATCTCTTGACAAACCCAATACAACCGAGATCACTACAATACATAGCAAAACTGCTACGCCAAGCCCATCGCACAATTCCCAACAACAAGAAAATCTCTCTGTACTGGACGCCAGGACATGAAGGAATTGAATTAAACGAAAAAGCGGACAAGGCGGCAAAGGAAGCGGCAGAAGGAGGAGCGGAGACAGTAGCATTACCGGCAAGCCTGGGAGGACTGTTACGACATGTGAAGGAGAAATTCAAAAGGGAAGTAGTTCCAATTAAGAAATTCAAAACTAAGGGAAGATACATTGCTGATGCACTGAACAATTTAGAAAAGGGTCAGGCGGCATCAATATTCCAATTAAGATGCGGGCATTGCCCTCTCAGAAAATTCCTACATCGAATAGGGGCCGAAGAAGATGACAGATGTGAAACATGTCGAGTAGTAGAATCACCACATCACTTCCTGATATTCTGCAAGAAGTTCAACGCACAAAGACAAAAATTTAGAAAAACATTAAAGAAAGAAAAAATTAAAGTGGATATCAACTCGGCTATAAAATTATTAGATACGCCTGCGGTATTCCCATATTTAGCTAAATACATAGAAGACACAGGAAGATTTATTCACCTTAAAACATACCTAGATAAATGATCAACATAGTTTCTTTCTTCTCCTATGCCAACTTTTCTTTCCTATGATAAAAAATGTTTCTTTCTTGTGTTCTTTAAAATTTCTTTGTTTATATTTTGGGGCGAAAATTCCACAGGAAGACTATTTTGGAGGCTCAGTAGACCAGTCCATAGTAGAAGACAAACCAGAAGTTGTAATTTAGTTACATATAACATACTAAGATAGTTAGTGCGACATCACTGTAAACATCATTCAACTTCCCCAATTTGGCAGAGGAAAATGATTAATAGTACAGTTTTTCATAAAAGAATCTAATACTGCACACCTGGGCCATTTCACCCACACTACATATGTGCAGCAAGCTAAGTCAATAGTTGTCTATCATGTACATACAGGTCTGCTCAGTTTTTTGCCCATCAGAATAAATAAATCACATGTTATACCACATGTAACTTTTTCGACTTTGAAATTTTTTTCCCAAAAATTCACTACATATAATTCTGTAGCTGCTCAGGCAATATTGTTGAAGCTATGTCTTAGTAACAGAAAGTGTGTTACATGCAGTTGAGTTGATGAGATCACACCAAAACATTGAGTCAGTGTATGTAGTCAATCTTTTGGAAGCTTTTTTCAATCTGAAAGAAGTTACAGCATGTATTACATATGAATAACTTGTCCTGATGAGCAGATAACTGAGCAGAACTGTATGTACATGATAACCACATATTCACTGAGCCTGCTACACATATGTAGTGTGGGTGTTATGGCTCAGGTGTGGAGTGATAGACCATTTTACGACAAATCATACTCCCAATCATTTTTCCCTGCCCACTTGGGGAACCCGAATAATGTCTGCAGTGCATGTGAAATCAAAAGCACTTAAAAAAAAAAAAAAAAAAAAAAAAAAAAAAAAAAAGAGTGGAGAGAGTTTTAAGGCCGGAGCGGCGAGCCGCAATAGTTCTGTGAAAGGAGTGTCACCGGTACTTCGTGAGGCCGCTTCACCAAGATGGTACGCCCCTCCCATCTTGGAAAGGCTGCTCAAGAAAAAGTTATTGGCTTTGAAAAATTCCAATGGTGATCAAGTTTCGTGAAGAAAATTTGGTTGTTGTGGAATCAAAACACAATCGTGGTCCACGAGAGAGTGGTGGCCCCCCAGGATGAGAGAAGGCGTTGCTAGATTTCCAGCATTCCAATTGATTCGATTGCGGACATTAGGCATTGGGCGAGGTTTCTGAAAATTTTCGTTTTTTGGTTGCGGGAACCAATTCAAAGGTAGTTCAGTTTTCTTGGAATGCTTGAGTAGGGATGGCTGGCACAATATCAAAGCCACCCAAAGCACAGCAAAAAAATATTTCTTGTTTTGCTTTACAAAAATTTTCTGAAATTTCATCGGGCGTAGAGCATCCTTGCTTGACCTGTAAAAGCCACAAGCCCTAATCGCGCCACAAAAGACACCTTTCAGACATTTCACACATACCTTGCCTGGGGCCCCCCGTTCTGAATCTACCCGGGTATCCCCCAGCAGCCGTGATCTATCATCCGATGACTTTTTCTTCTAACGTGGCAGTCAAAATTGGAACATTTTATTGACTCAAAACTAGACAGACTTGTCCAATTTCAAGCTGAAATTGAAATCAAAAGATTCAAATCTTGATCCTCTGGATTGGTCACAAACTGCTGGAGTTGACGAGCAAAAACCTCGAAGACAAGAGTCAAGCGGTCATCGGACCGAGGCAAATGAACATCTGACCCTAAAAGATAGCCGGGCAAAGCGACAGGGCTTTTTACCTGTGAAACTCACTCGCTTCTGCAATCTTCGGATTGCTTCGTGGGGCGCATCGCTGGTCGGTCAAAAAAATAGAAAAAAGAGCGAAAATTTCGCCCAATGCCTATTGGCTCATAGCGACCTGATAGAAGATCAGAACACCACAAAAAAAACCCTATCATGCGCCCTCATGCGCCCCAGCTCCAGAATTTATAAGTCGAGTTGGTTCAATCTGCCATGGTGTCTGTCTCCTCAAAGCTCCATTTTGTGAAATCCTAGACTCCGCTTGATAAAAATGTTGAATCAAAGTTTAAGTACTTCCCTTGCTCTATTGTTAGTCCTTCAAGGGTTTGCTTCGTTCCTCAATGCCGAAAAATCCGAAGGCCCAAACAACTCACCTCCCCCCATAGTGGGTGTAAGTCAACAAGATTGCGCTCAAACTTGGGCAAATCTAGCCATTCGAACCAAATTTTGGTCTATGACTTACCCTGAAAGATACTGTAAGACCATGTATCTGTTTGAATTACAACTGTCAAACTCTCACTAATAGTTGGACTTACTTTTTTTGCTTTGAATAGACTGTCGCAATGCTGGGAATACGGCATACGTGTGTGGAAACTGCTGGATAAAGCAGCAACAGAAACCCGCTAACCCTGCACCACTTACGTTGGGTGAGTGGTTTTTGAAATCATAGCTATTTTAAACTGTGGGACTTAGTTGGATACGCTTGATTCCTTCTTTTATCAGGGCCGGAGGCCTCATCCTGCTCCATTCTCCGCTCATCTGATCGTAAGGCAATATGGATTCCCAAAGCTCCGTGTTTAGCTTACCATCTTGAAGAGTCATCAGGTCGTATGAGTTGAGTCATTGGACTTCATGAAAAAATCTTGAGAGGCATACTGAAGCAAATAATCCACAGGTTGCCTTAGTCAAGCATTCTCAGTCCTTCAATGTCACGCAGGTCGCCCGGACCCCTCTTATATTGGTACTGGTCAGTCTAATAGTTGCCAATTTCTTAGTTGTATTGTACACGATCAAGCTTGTGTTACTGATCATGTTCTTTTTTTCCAATTGATGAATATTGTAGTCTGTGACCAATGCACGCCGTATCAAGCCAAATCCGGGGACCGCGGTACTATCTTTGAGGATGGATCCGACTTTCCATGATTGAGATGACTTTATCAGCTCAATAGTTTTCTTCACTGCTCCAATATTGTGGACCACATCATCACCCTAAACTTTTCGTCCCTCTCCTCTCCGCCTCAAAAACATTGTTTCGAAACGTGCTATCCGAATCCCGATGCGGTCTTTTCTCTGTTGTCTGCCTTGTTGTATTTTGATATGTACTCTGCTCACAATTGAAGGATGATGCCATGAGGTCGACGATAGGAAAGAAAAACCAATTTGTCATGAAAATTGCAAGTTGCAAAACTTATGAATGAGGTCAGACCAATGCCCTTTCCTGGTCAATGTCGTGTTCCTGACCTGATATCCCTTCACGCGATGCGATCGTTACGTCGTTTACTGTTCATCTTTAAAACAAAGTCCTGAACACATAAGATTGTAGTTTCTTCAGGGTGCCAATTGCAATTTTATTTATCCAGTTTCACCATCATCATCATGAAGAATCACATCAGCTATGTACTCCCGCTTGCTGTTTACGTCGGTCGTACGATCTCCTACGCGTCTTTTTCATCGCGCGGGGACAGCCAGGCCTATAACCATGCACTCAACGCACAAATGGACAACTCCATGCCCTCTATGAATGTCATGCCGGCTAGCTCGGGAGGTGCGACCCATGGACTTTGTTTTACTTATGATGTAGAGACCTGATTCTCTGCCCTTCTGTCCTTCGAATTAGTCCGACTTGACCCACAGGCTGTAGCTGCTCAGTATCGATTCGATCGTGAACATACTCCTCCGCGAGCAGTTCACGCCGCCGGTGGTACGTCATCTATGAGCGGTTCAGCATAGTAAAAGCCGAGTTACCCCCTGAATTATCTTGAATCTTAGTCGGCGCGCATGGTACTTTCACTGTCACCACGGACTTTGCAAGCCAATATACAATGATGGACGTACTCAACGGAAGTAAGTGATTTTTTTTTGAATTGAGCTGGGAAGTCATTTAACTTATCTGACTTTTGTTATGGATTTCTTTCATCATTCCGGAATGAAGTTGGCACACAGACACCCATCACGGTGAGGTTGTCAAACGCCTTAGGTATTTTTGTTACACTTTCATCTCACTTTCAACATATCTTGATATTTATTCATCCTATACATCTTTGTGGAAATTCACATCGAAATATAGGCGATAAAGGCAGCTTTGACACAGCTAGAAACGTTCGAGGATTTGCTATCAAGTGAAGAAAATTTTCCATTCGATCATTCACCTTATATTCAAATGAACTTATTGCATTCCGAACTTATTTCTTTTTCTGAGCCACCAGGTTTCGAACGAATCAAGGAATATGGGATCTTCTCAGTAAGTGTTGCTTTTGATAGTTTCCCCTGGGGCATCGATCTTTGAACTGATCGCGTTTTCTTCACTTCTGGTTTGTAACTTGAAGTGAATAACACTCCAGTATTTTTCCGTCAGTCGACTCAAGAGGCTGACTATTGAAAGCCATGAATATCATAAATCTGCTAATCTCATTTGATAAGTTATTGATGACTCGACGTTTCAAATTCTTGTAGTTCGACAACCTGCAAAATTTCCGATTTTGATTCACAGTCAAAGTCGGAGCCTTATTACTAATCTCCCTGATGCGGAACAGGCTTTGTAAGACAGATTTCTTCTTTGGACTATTATCTCTGGAGTTTCAAGGTCGTCAATTTTCCTAAATAGCTTTGTACCATTTCAACATGTCCTAAAGTGAGTATCTGGCCGATAATCCAGAGGCCCTCAACCAATTTCTGAGAACTCTTTCCGATGCTGGGCTAGCAAAAGGTGACCTTATTATCTTTTCTCATCTCGATCAATATGAATCTGACCAGAGATATGTATTCGATGTCACTAGGTTGGCTTCAGACAGAAGCCTTCACAGGCCATGCTTATAAATGGATCAAGGCAGATGGTAAGTTACGGTGACGAGTATCATAGATGTCGGAGCAGCCATGATCACAGCTCGTACAATGCAAATAATTGAATTCACCTACTCATGATTTAGGCTCGTGGGTATATGTCAAGCTTTGGTGTCGAAGCAATCAAGGATTGTCTAATTTCACACTCGGAGAGCAAGCAGATGTAGGAGACCCCGACTTTGGAGCACGAGTAAGCGGATGAATTTCTTCCATATGATCTCTTGACGGCAACATCTTTCGTACTTCAGGACAGTCAAAGTCGTTTTACCTTTCACAAGATAATCCAGCTGAACATTTGCTCTTCTTCATATGATTTCAGGCATTATATACATCAATCAATTCAGGAAAACTTCCAAGTTGGACAGTATTTGCTCAAGTTTTAACTCCTGCACAAGCTTCAAATTTTCGCTACAATGTACTTGACGTCACAAGTTCAGTTCTCGCTTCTTTAAACATGATCATCTCAAAGAGATTCTAAAAACGAAGATTGTGCGTCTTCTTTTTATTAGAAGAGTGGCCTTTTTCGCTTGTTGAACCTCATGAGATTGGAAGATTTGAATTGAATAAAGTGAGCAATCATCAAGAATGTTTTATAAACTTCTTATATCGTGTCTCACACATTACTATCTTGAATAATTTTTATAGAACCCATCCAACTATTTTACAGAGGTAAATTAGCTTTTCCCTACCACTAATTAATCTAGTTTCTATTTTTAAAGAATAAATGTGGTTAATTTCTAGGTAGAACAATTGGCATTTTCACCCGGTAATGTAGTTAGAGGTTGGGCTCCTAGCGATGACCCAGTTCTACAAATGAGAGTTCTTGCCTATCCGGATGCGCAGGTAAGAGGCCATTATCAGACATCAATATGTTCAAATTATCATATATCGTTGTACTCAATTCTCTTCTCATCATCGCGATTATTGAAAACTCTTTAGCGATACCGTCTTGGTCCTAATTATCAACAAATTCCTGTTAATTGTCCGATGAGATGTCCAGGTTTGTGACTTTGTTCTTTCTCTTTCTCTATCATGTTTGTTCCTCCTTTTCTTTGTCTTATACTTTGTTTTGAATCTGAACAGCACAAAGATACCAAAATTATCCTGATTGCTCATCGTGGCAAAGTAGTCTTTCCGATGGGCAAATTCCTCCAACAAGAACTGTTCCTACCAAACCCGATCAAGTGAGTTTGAAGATTGTCAAATTTTCCCAAAGAAGACCCAGAGATCAATGTGAAACTGAATCTTTTTTTTTCTTAGTTACCCGATATTGATTATGAGCAACCTAGATATTTTTACGGAAATTTGACCTCTGATCAAAAATCTGAATTAATCAAGTTGAGTCTAGATCTGATTTTTTTAATATTATGTTCAACTTGAATGACTGATTTCACATCATCTTGAATCAAAAACAAATTGCAAAACCTCAAGTACCTTTGTGGGAGGTCTTTCGGAAGTACAAGATCTTAATATCCGATCTCGTGTTCTTGATGTTATAAGTTATGCTAGTCCTGAGCTCTCTTCCAGGATCTCAGCTGCATTATGAGTGGCTTTTCAATTTTCATTTCAAGATATATCTATCTTACTTTGTTTTCTTGGTATAAGTTTCTCTAGAAGACGTATGCACGCTCAGAAAGTAAATTAATGTGAATGGATACCGAATCCGGGGCCGGCGGTAGCGTCTTTCAGGATGGATCTGGTTTTCCGTGATTGAGATGACTGACTCGATCAGCCCAGTAGTTCTCTTCGCTCGTTCAGTTTTGTAAACCAAATGCTTTGTTGCTGCAAACTACCAATCTTGCATCACCACCTAGACACCAGTTCCTTATGGCTAATTCCTTTCATATAAAGCAAAAGGTGCCATCTGGGGCATTTCTCTTCTCTTTTTTGTTTTGACAGGTAACTTCCTCACAATAAATAAAGTGTATGGCAGAATCTATAATGAAGTTGACCTGGTCATTCCCCACCATGTTTTTACTGAATTTCCGCTAGCGGTCTCAGACAGACAACATGATTTGATAGGGGATTGTACAGCCGTTTCAAGAAAGGTTGACAACTTTTTGCTGGAGAAAGTTGTCTCCGCAGCGGCTGAAACCAAAGACAAAACTTGATTACAGGTTTATTATTTCCTGTATTCTTCCAATTAGCGGAGAGACAAAATAGACAAAATCAAGTGAGGGACAAAACCCGGGTTTTGCACATTGGCGAGATTTTCAAAAAAAATCAATCTTTGTTGGAACAGCTGTAGATTCTTTTGGAAATAAAGACACAAACCCTTGTTCAAAAGTAACAAGTGCTGTGAGCAGGAGCATATCTGTCAGCCCTGAGCCCTGAAGAGCCTATTAGTAGTTGTGTTTTGATGAAGGAATCCATTCCCAAAGTCTCTTTGCTTTACCATCTCACTCAGTGTTCTTTTATTTACTAAGAACATTTGTGATTTTCTAAAGGTACTCTTTGCTTTATCATCACACTTGGTGTTCTTGCATTTACTAAGAACATTTGTGATCTTATAAAGCTTATATGCTTATAAAGTTGAGACAAGAATCGCACACCAACTACAAGTTGACTCTTGACCTGTAAATACATAAACCCCCCTTCTTCCCTCAATTCATCCCCCATATTTTACTACAATTACAACACAGAACCACATTTTAATTGACTCCTACTGAGAGGATCTTCAAGTACATGGTTAGTTGTGTAGCGTGTTAATGACCAATCTTGATCATTATGGGTTCCATTGCTGAACACCCAAGGTACATACCAATTTCTAAGAGCCCAGGGCATTCATTTTCTCTTGAAATACACCTTGAAGTAGCAAAGCTTCCTCCTTCTTAAGGAGTCTAAACTAGTCTTTAGGATCTTTGCTTTACCAAAGAGTAAAGCCTGCCCCTTGCAGTCTGACAAGGTTAGAGTGTACTACAGTTGTCTCTCTGTAAAGGCATACAAAAGGCAGAGCAATTTTGTATGCCCTATGTGATTCCTGCCCTTATGTGCTCTCTACATGGGCCTGACACCTTTTTTGGCGGCAAAATAAACTATGCCCTAACAGAATTATGCCCATATGGGTGTATGCCCTTACAGGGAGTTGACTTTAGCTCTTTACTGGCCCTAGTCTTCTTTTCTCTTCCTCAAATCCACTTCCTAGAGGTCAACTAGCTGTGGTCATCACTTGGGTGCACCACTTGAAGACCATGCTTTGCCTTTCCTACTCTATTCTCAGTATAGAGTACACCTGACAGACACATACTCCTCACAATTTCATTACACATTAAGATTCCATTACACTAGGAAGAATCAAATGTTGAGTGCAATCTAAGATTTCCTGTCTTTTGGTGGTGTGACATATTCAACAGCACCAATTACTATTGTGTCTGCTTCTCCAAGGCATGTTGAAGTAATCTTTTTGATAAAGTCTCTTTGATTTTCCCAAAAGTATATCCTGAAATTCCCTCTTCACCACACACACCCTTCTCCTCCCTGTCTGCTGTGTTTGAATCTGCTGCCTTGGATGGCTCTTCCTCATCATCTTCTAGATGCAACAAGTCCAAAGATTCCTTACTCTTTGATGCTGGCTTTGGCATCAAAGTAGCTGTTGTTGTGCTTTTCACAATATTGATCAGTTGAGCATTCACTGGGGCAACTGAGTTTGAGCAACGCCAGGACCTCAACATAATCAGCCAAGTCATTTAGCTCATGTTTGTGAGCATTTGAAGTTGGAAAATTATTGGAAGCAGCTGCAAACATGTCAAACTTGTCAACTACAGTAGGGGCGGTAGGCTCTTGAGTTTGAGAAGTACAGTCCCCTCCAAGTGGTTTATGTAATCATTCAAGTTCTGCAGCGGCGGGGCTGGGGCCTGTTGCAAACCCAATGATTACAAATACATGTAGGTTGCAAAAAATCATTTGGATTCCATTTTGAAAGTCATTCTTTGAATACTTCCTGGATGGCATCTAGAGCTGAGTAGCTTGCGTCCGGATAGAAGTCTTGAATGAATTTCATGTGTCATCGTGGATTGAGGACGGTTGCAATTATATTGATTTTGGTGTTGGTCGCCTCTTCCTGGTACTTCTTGAGCCAGACCAGCATTTCATTGATAGAATTCAATATACTAGGATAAATCATGTCTTCTTTGAGGTTTTCAAGCTTTTTCTTGATGCGCAGGTATTCTGCAAGGACCTCACATCCCAATGAAAAGTCACCTTGCATACGGAAGGTAGCATCTTCAAATACCTAGTTCAAAAACAATACATATATATGTAAATTTGTGACAATATATATGTGAAAGTAAATTGGATACTGACCTCAAGGCCATTCCTCATCACATAGGGAAAGGCCACGGTAATATTTATTTGTCTTCTGATCCATCGAAGTCATCGAGTTTAGTATCTGAGATGAGTTAATTGAGGTCAATACAAGGTGATACAATCGACACAAGCAAATCAATGAGCTCACATCCTATCCATCACATGCCCTGTGTCAACTGTTGGCTTCACCGTGTCCGGGTAGTGTTTGCTTGTCAACGAGCGCGCACGACTTCCCTTTCTGCCTCAAAGGGAGTTGGTGTGCGCTTGTCGACTAGCAAAGCCTACACAGACACGGTGCTTTAACGTTCCATCTCACACTGTATCCAACTGTTAGCATTCGGATCCCCAGTTCTTTGGCTTTCTTTGCAAAGTGATTCCGTCTAGAGGAGCTTGAGCAAGTCATCTGGATGAGCTTATCAACCTGATTTCAATAGAAAACATTATCAAAAGGAAACATTAGAACATGAATGGCACATGTGGAAACCAGATCAAAACGCACCTTATGCACACTACGTGCCACAATATCTGCTGATTGCATGATAGTTTCTGAAGGCTCTTCAGACAACTGTTCATTGGCAGTCAAATCAGGGACCAAAGTACCTTGGTCCTTGTCCGATTCTTCAGAATCAATTGGGTCCATGGTGTTGTTGTTGACTCAAATTGTTGGAATGGGGACAACCAAACCAGGCTTTGTGGTTGGTTTGGTATGTCCTGCACTTATATCAAGGGTTTTGAGGCCATGACTTACCATCAGAGCCAGCTTATGACAGAAACATTTGATGTGGCTTTTCTCAGCTGACCAGTGTACTGGTGATTCACATTTGGAGAATAATCAAGCCATTTCACGAGCCATGGATCCGTTAGATGAACCGGAATCAGTTGTTTGTCAAATCATCTAAGTATTCATCCATCAGAAAATAAAACAATTGTTTGAAAGTAAAAAAACAAAGTCAAAAAGAATATATAAATCAAAAGATTGGATCCAAACCTTCTTATGTAGCCCATGTCGGATGAGATTTTGAGCTACAGGTCAAGCAAGGAGGTCTCCACAATGATGCCAAGTGACAAGTTTTAAGGTAAGGTGAATCGTCTGGTAATTCCAGCCGTCATCAACATAATTAACCATAAAACCGATAAATGCCATGCAATTTCCCTTAGTTGTCCAATCATCATGAGCTAACAAGAACATGCTTGAGTTGCTCTGAATGCCAAATCAATTCAATGATCAATCACTGCCGAGGTAAAAGAGTAAAAAAACATCAACCTCACCTGGATGCGACTGATTACAACATTATATAATGAGTAGAAGAGATCCTTGGCGGTGGTGGCTGCCCACTTTGGAGATCAAAGCTGAGCAGCTCCATTCCCTAACTTGAAAGCCGCTGGTAATGTCAGGTCCTGAATGTGAATCCAAGGTAGTGCGTGACAAAGGATCCATACGACTATTACAACATTTAACAACTCCACGCTGAACGTTGATTGAGATAAGAATGATTTGATTGAATTACCAGGGTTGATGGTAACTTCAACAGGTGTGTTGAGTTCTTGCCAGGTGGGTGCTAGGTCGAGCTTGGCTTGGATAGCTTTTGCTCGGCCAGGGCAAGGTCTTCTCTTCTTATATCCGTCTTGATGTCCGTATAAATTTGAGTTCCCATCTTCACCTTGAGTGAAACTACCCGGACACCACTTACATTGGAACCTTCTTTTGATTCCAGTAGCCTAGACAGACGGATATTAACGTTGAAAAAACATTAACAATAAGTAAAGAAACATTCAAATATGACAATCAAAGTATCAAGATAGATAATAAAGGGCAAAATTTTGCTTACCTCTTTGCCTGGTACATGATCTGGTGCCTTATAGTATGTCAGGAGGATTTTGACTTCATTGGATGTTGCTTTTTGAAAACCACTGGAGGTGCCTTTGTTGTTGGTGACTTGATCAACATCAAGGTCGGTGGGATGATCTAAGTTCTGGACCAGAGGCAGAGAATGATATCAGTTAGGAATTGATTTTAAAAGATAGGTATGAAAGTGGTATAGACGCTTTGACCGCAGGAGCTTGGGTCTTCTTGTTCTGTGTTGGAACTAAGCTTGTCTTCTTCCTTTTTTTGATTAATTTGTTTTGATTGAGTTGGTGAGGGTGTGGTTATTGCAGAAGGAGTTGGGATGTCTTCAACTTGGTCATCTTCCACTTCAAAGGTGGGATCGTCGAGGTTGGAGCTGTCATTGTCATCGTCAGAGTGAATGACAGTGATTGTGTCTTCTGGCCAAAGTAAAGCAGTCCGCAAGCTGCCTGATGTCAATACAAAGCTGGCATCTTTTTGGCGTGGGCTGGCACAAGTGGAATGACAAGAGTCAGCAGGAGGAAGTAGTGAAGAGGAGCTCATATTGAACAATTGAGTAAGATAATAGCAACATGAGAAAAAGGAAAGTGATTCAAAAAAGAAAGGAATGGGATAAAGAGAGAAATAAAAAAGTACTAACTAAAGGTTGCCATCAATCCAAGTGCCTCCTTGGACGAATGCAGGGTGAAGATAGATGAAAAGAGACATGGAGTAACCTGCATTGAGAAGATTGAGGGATGGATTGGTCATAGTGTCAGTAATGTACAAGGTGGTGTATGTGAGGGGGAAAACCCCGTTATCTACCGTAGTGACTACGGGTTTTGTTGCGGGCACTCCGACGGAATTGGCCGGTTTTTGTTATTAGGACCGTAACCGGTTTCCTCTACCCTGCATTACAATACGGAGGTACTGTAGTGTCCAAAGGCCTGTCGCAGTACGGTATGGTCCGTTACCGTTGACCGTAGTCATCGTGCTGAGGTCCTTGCGTTGGCTTGTAAATTGTTTTGAGGTTAACTTGACTTACGTCCGGTGGGTCAATGAGGTTGTGAATGTTTGACATTTGTTCAGAGTCTTCATCTGCTCCATCAAGAACTTCACCAAAGACTTTGAGCCCTTCTTTGGTGGCAAGGTTAATCACATGTGCTACACAGCCATGAACCTGAGTTGTGTGATCGAAAATTATGTTCTCTGAGAATCTGATTTCTTGACTAATCACGGTGTTTGTACTGATGTTGTCCGCAGTCATCACAATTAATTGGTTTGTTAGATTGTACTTTTCCAAATAAGAAATGATGATTCTAGCAAAATTCTTTGCATCATGTGCACCTGAAAGAATGTGTCAGTCAAGTCGAGTGAATTGGTTGATTGGAAAATGTCTTACCTTTGATTTCAGCCATACCAAGGGCAATATCCGTAAGTTCCCAGTTCTTGTTGATGAAATGACCAGTGAGACCCATGAACAGGAAATTGTTTGGAGATGTCCAGGCATCTTGAGAGATCACAATAAATTCACAGGGGCCAAAGTAGATCTTCTTGATGTACTCCTTGTAGTGATAGTAGAATTTACGAGGATGTCTGGCAATTGCATGTTGCTTGACAAGCATCCCCTCAACAACAGGATTGCAAAGGGTTAATACGCGTTGTAGTATTTAAAGCTCAACAAGAGCTTTACAACACCTAAGAAGGGATAATCTACTACGTGTAATATAGTAGAAGTTGCCTAAAGACTGCCTTCTTCAAAGAAACCAGCACAAGGGCACTTGCTGACCACTTTGTGATAACAGAGAAAAAGATAAAGGCACCAGAGAAATAAAGCAATACTGTTGTGTAGTATTATTCCCAGTTTTAAGCGCAAAAAAGGTCCACACACTATGTTTATTACTAGCAATACTGTTGTTAAGTATTATTCCCAATTGACTTATAGTCTTTAACACACGTGAATAAATTTCTCCTTGCTTTGAAGGGGCGGATTTAAGTGATCTTAGTACAAATACAGTAAATAAATGATGATTTATAACACTACAACAAAGGTATAAGATGCAGAAAGGGGAACAAAAATCCCAAAATCATCAAAGAGTATATATATCCACATGTAACAACCTCTACAATAGTCAAAAGCCTCAAAAAACCAGTCAAATCCGCCTAAAGAACCCTAAAAACCATGTAATGACGCAATGTAATGATCTTGTTACTAATGTATGATGTAATTTTCACAGCCAAAAGTGATCAATGACGCAATAATGTAATGTACAGCACTTCTTAAGATGAATACAGGTGATTTTTTCCTTGTAAACTAGCTGAAACCCAATTTTTGAGATTACGAATTTTTTCAGATGTGCTCCAATTTTGATCTACTATAGTGCATCTTGTAGCCCTCGTGATACTGATCATTTATGACACCCATATGACCTATTTCTGATGAGTTATGAGTAAGATATTGAGTTGTGAAGTTAAGGTTTTTGGTGTTACATGTTGACTTGTGACTGTAAATTCGAGATTCACACCAATTTCTTATTTGCCTTATAAATTTTTACATACACCTCCGTTACTAATGATTTAAAGGTTGTACATTATGTAATCCACTCTTCTGCGTTGAATGAGCTATCTACCAACTTAATCTGACGTCATTTGACATATGTAATTAGCTGAAAACCTTCATTTTCCACGAAATTCACCCATTTTCTTCATTCTTCACAGCTGCTACTCTCTTTTTCTCGCTCATGTAATATGACATCATCTTCTATAACCTTAAAAATCCCGGAAAATCCTCTTGGCAACCTTAATTTCCACTACTACCACCATTACATATGTAAACTACACGCATAACCCTTGTTTACCAACTTCGAAAAGTACCTTTCTCCTAATAACTTCTGTTTTTCCTTATCAACCTTGAAGATTAAAATTGTTACTGTATAATAAACCGTTGTTCTTTCATATTCTAACCTTTAAAAACCCATAACTTAATTATAAATATGCTAAAAACCATTTTCCAACCTTTACACCTATATTTTTGAATTTTTCTTATCTTTTCTTTTTCTGTCTTTTTGTCATAACTTTGTAAGTAAACTATGTTTATCTTAAGAATAATATTGAAATGAGATAACATAATATTGAGCTAATAAATATACATAAGCCTCTAAGAGCTTCAATTGATCTGAAAACCCGAATTTCGAATTTCCTGCTACACTGAAGTTTTCTAATATCTTGGTAAAGTAAAGATGATTAATTTTCTTGCTTGTTATCATAAATAGATCACCACAGCGTCAAAATGAAGGCTTATCAGCTATTGAGGAGGGGAGATCATTGTTGGCTATGAGATAAACCAAATTGGTCTTGAGGCTGTTGATATCGAGTTTGTTCTGAAACATAAGTCATCATTATTAGTAACAATTTATTCATGTCAATATATAAAGAGAATAGATTGAGAACTTGCCACATGACCAGTCTTACCCTTGTTAGGAGCTGTAAGTATGTTGCCTTGATTGGGTAGTTTGTCATTGCGGATGCCATGCTTTGATTCAAGGTGGATCTTCATTAATGTTGTACTGCCCTTCTTATCAAGGGCCAACTTTTCACTGCATTCAGATCCGTTCACCATAACAAATTGGCACAGATTGTACTCGTCAGTCTTTTTGAAAAACTTCCACACGTAGCTTGATGGTTGATTAGTACAAGTTGAAATAACCGTGATATCTGATTGATCGGCTTGAGAGTTGGTAGTTGTTTCTTCAGTTTCAGTCCGAGAATCAGTGTTCAAAGCTTCAGACATGTTCATTTTGTTTGAGTTTAATTTGAATGAAAGTATCGAGGATAGGAGGGAATATAGTTTCTGTAAATGATCGATATTGAGTGGGGTTAAACGGTTGGAGGCTATTTGAGGGTGGTGAACTGTGGGAAGATTTTTTTTTCTGTTTATTTTTTTATTTGCTGCTGAATATCCGGCAGATGGCCGGTTCAAGTACCCAGTCTTGTCCAGTCTGGCTCAAGACTACCTCAGCTTAACCGCCTCATCAGCTCCTGGAGAGTGATTGTTCACTGTTGCTGGGCAAGTTTGCTCGGCAAACCAAGCCTCTATGCGTCCCCGATTCATTGAGACATTGGTGGGCAGTTGGATGTGGACTAGGCAAGGTGTGCCTCTGCCTCAATTGTTTAGCAAGGTGGACAAAGTGATTGATTACATTAATAAAACAAAGGGGGGCAAGGATATCTCAACCTTAGATGTTGATGGGTTATAGTGTTTTCTTTTTTTTCACTATTTTGTTCTCTTATGCGCCTTTTTTTACTTTTTTGTTATCTTATATGCCCCTCTTTTTAACTATGTGTATGCCTGCTTCTTATATATGTGATTTACTTGAAGTTGTATACAAATACATGGTATTTACAACTCGGTTTTGGTGTTTCTGTCACAGTGCTGCCCATTTTTTGACCCCGGTCAAGTTGCGCTTGGAACCGCTGCTGAGACTCAAAATTCCGTAGCCCGCTCCGCTTATGGCCTTTTTTGGGTTCCAGCAGCGGGGGCTAAAGTTACCGTTTTAAGGTGATTTCGAAATTTGTTACGCTATTGCAAAGCTGGGAAAACACTTTGCGTAGCATAACAAGCCAGCCTTGTTGGAAGGTACTGAGTTTGCAAGATTTCAATGCTATGATTTACTTGCTAATTCACCAAAGTGGAGCAAATACTTAAACAAACAGTTTGACAAAAAGAAAGCTGACAAATCTACTCCCGGCAATCCTTCTACCTCTGAACCACCCATGGGAGCCAAAGCAGCGAAGGCAGCTAAGTCTCAACCACCTACCCAACCTCCTGAGGTAATTGAACTCACCAGAGCACTCATCAAATCCAGCAAAGCAATGTCCAAAAACACCAAACGGACATGCCAAGCGATTGAACTCATAAGTCAAGACTCATTCTTAAGAGGTGGTCTAGAAGATTTTGACCCAGCTACTCAAGACCTGTTTGAACAAAAACATGCAAAAGTAATGAGGGATATGGAAGCCTCATTGGCTGATGAATAACTTTGATCAATCATGGCTGTGTCCTTGGAAATTTTGTCTTTGCTTTCTGCTCAATTTATTTCTTTATTTATGTAAAGATATGTGTGTCTGGCCGTTGGTTTCAATAAGTATGATATCATCTGTGTGCTAAGTAAAATGTTATGTTTTTTGCGCTGAATATATTTTCTCAGCTCTGCTCTGTTTATTAATCTATCTATCTGTCTGTCCGTTGTAACTTGCTACAATGTTTTCTGATCTGGTATATTTATCCATCTATTGATGTCAATCTGTCTGTATCTCCGTTGTTTTGGATCACTTTCATCACATCTGAGAAAAAACTCTATACTGTTTATTGTATATCATCTTTCATCTCTGCGCTATGGTTTCAATTCTCAAATGTTTTTTGATTTCTACAAGTCATGGTTGGGCTGTGTGTACGGTCAAAGCCTATTTCCCCAAAGAATGAAGGTGATCCATCAATTAGGAATGGACTGTGCAGAGCACAGTCCATTGCTTTGACAATAGATGTGAAAACACCGTAGAAAAAGGTGCATCATTGGCACATATTTGTCAATATATGACTTCTTTGAGTTTCTTCCGAGTGGTCAGGGCAAGTCTTGCACTTCTTTGTCCATGATTTGTGAAAAATGAATTTGTTTCGTAATACAATATTTCTCTGTCTTGCTATAAAAGTACCCCTTTGTACCTCAGTCCCTTTTGCTCATTGCTATCCACATATTTCCAACTTCACTATCTGTTCATAGCTGTACATCTGTCCATAGCTCTTAATACCCATTGTATATTGCAGTTATTACGCTTGACAGCACTTCCAGAAGGCCCTTTCTATCATTCACTTTCACTTTCCATACCTAACCTACTTTTTTCTCCTATAATGTCTTCATCAACTGGCTTGTCCAAGTCTAATGGCCAAAGGGAATCAACACCTAGAAGCAGTTCACCTGATAGTTAGTAATTATTTATCTTATCTAGCCTACAAGCCTGAAAATTAACTTAAGTCTTGTTCCAGTAACTTGGATTGGCAATGGTACCACCTCTGGTATGCAATTTACTCCAGAAGAGTATATTCGCTACCGGGGATTACTCAAAGTTGCCGATCACATCAATCCCAATTTACTAGCTCCTGATAATGAAGGTGAGCATCAACATATATCACAATAGGCAATGGATTCTAACAATCTCATTGAAGTAGGCAGACCCTGCAGTCTGTCTATTGAGATCATTGAAGGGTGACCCCGCAGTCCCTCTGTCAAGATCATTGAAGGGAGATCTTGCAGTCCCTCTATCAAAATCAATCCAAGTGAGTTTGAACACTACATTTGTAATCATCTTCCATCAACGTGGCTGACTTACAATTGTGCCATTCTAAATAGATTTGAACCAAAGTCCTCGAGCTTGGCTAGAGACAGAACGACTTGAAGAATATCAACGCCAACAGCAGGCCAAAGAAAAACTCCGTCACATCATCCACTCAATCCAAAGTAAGCGCCGAGAGCAGTTCCAAGCGCTTTGCAAAGCCCTTCTCCAGGTGTACAATTACACCGGCCCCTATCTACAGAGGCCAGGTGAAAAGGTATCAGCAGCTGAGCTTATAAGAGATGGAGGTTTAGGAGCAGAGTTTGTCAATTTGTTTGATAATGAAGTCAAATGAGAATGGCTTCAACTTCAAGTGGACAATCTTTATGTAGATGTTACATGTTTCTTTCTTAGGTTGGATACAACATTGTGTTCATTGTTTTGTGTGCCCACTTATACTTTGTTGTATAAATTCCAATGGTTTATGTGTTTGGTTCAATACTATTTCTTGCTTGCTGTCAAGTACTGTCTTTTGCATAACCACGAGCCATACCAAACAACCAACAAATACAAAATGAAAGAAAGAAAAGGAGTCATATACAATGTGACTGCCGGGTGGAGCCATAAATGTTTAATCAAGTCACTTTGAAGTTGTAAAAAAAAACACGACACCATATACAAGAAATCAAAATAAAAAAAATAAAAAAATGAAAAGAAATTATAAAACAACTTGATTGCCGTGAAAGTCCCATAAATGATCGATCAAGTCAGCTTTAAGTTGTTCATGAAGATTTTGGTCACGGATTGCTTCTTGAATGTCCAAGTAAACAGGGAAGTCAGCACGTTCACGCCAGATTTCCGGTTGTTCTTGGAGAGGCTCAGGTACAACCAGGCCACCTGCTCGTTTGTTTTCCACAATCATGTTGTGCATGGTCACACATGCTTGCATAATGACTTTCAAAGTGCGAGTATGCCACGCTTTGGCTGGTCCGGCGACAATGGCAAATCAAGCCTGTAATACTCCAAAGCATCGCTCCACGTCTTTGCGATAAGATTCCTGGAACTTTGCAAAGTGCTATCAGGGAGAGGGAATTCTATCAGCAGGTATTATTGGCTACCGTTACAAACAAGCATAATCATACCTTTTTCTTTTCACCCAGCGGTTGCAAAATTGATTGAACAAGCGTAGCCCATTTGGGGTAGATCCCATTGGCTAGGTAGTAACCCATGTGGTAATCCTTCCCATTGGATTTGTATTTGCAAGGAGGTGCCTGGCCTTTTGCGAGGAGAGTAAAGAGTTGCGATCGGTCCAATATGTTGATGTTGTTTAGTGAACCTGGCAGGCCAAAAAAGCAGTGCCAGATCCATAGGTCTTGGGAGGTAACAGCTTCGAGGATGAGAGTTGGGTGGCCTTGTCGTCCTTGATATTGGCCAGCATAACCCTTTGGGCAATTCTTCCAGGTCCAGTGCATACAGTCAATAGAACCTAACATCCCCGGAAACCCTCGTGACTTTGCATCCGCCAAGAGACGTGCAGTGTCTTCTTCAGTAGGCTCGTGTAGGTACTCTTGGCCAAAGGCTGTATCAACAGCCACACAGAACCTCTTGAGTGATTTGAGGGTGGTGGTCTCAGCCAATCTGAGGTTTTTGTTTTCGCAATTGGCTGGACCTCCATGAGCAAGCATTTGGATAGCTGCCGTGCATTTCTGGAGGGCAGTCAGACCTAGTTGGCCAGTCATGTCTCGCTTTTGGACAAAATAATCATCCACATTGGTGACACCTTGAACAATGCGAAGAAACAGATTGTTTCCCATGCGGAATCTACAACGAAAGAGATGCTTGCCATCACTGGGCGTATTGGCAAAATAGTCGGACCAAAGTTGTTTGTGACCTTCGATATGACCTCGGTCAATGTTTGGCAATTTGCCAGGCAGTGAACCTCCACCACCATGTCTGTTTTGAGGTAGTATGTCGACGTGCTCACACCAATCAATTTCTGTCGAGGGTGGATATAACCTACAAACAGGTCTGAGAGCTAAGCATACAATTGCCTCTGTCAAGAGGTTCAGACAGCAAGAGTGTTGAATGGGCTCCTTTGTTCATAGTTCCATTGACAAACAGTACATTTTTGATTGTCTATTATTATTAACAAAGGATTTGCATTTTCTAGAGACAAATTGAATAAAGATCTGTTCAAATTTATTACACAACTCTCCGTGTGAGCATATCGACGTGCTCATGGGGGACGGGCATGGTGCACCTTTGCAAGCACCATCTTCAGGAGTAGGTTGATTCAAGATGTGGCTAACTAAGTGAGTGTCGGTGACCAATCTAGCACGGTCTGCAGTGCCGTTGCTAATAGCGGATAAGACTTCAAGTGGTAGTGGCAGCTTGGTGGGCGGAGACATGACTACAATGGGAATCAAGACAACAGTGCCAGGAGAAGTAAGCATAAGCGTCATTTGCAGGAGTCAATGAGTCAGAAAGAAACCGGGACTCACTGATTCAACAGAACAGTAATGTTGCTTGAAGTTCCTCAAATATGGTGAAGTGAGCGTTATCAGAGTGATGATTCGTAACCTGATCGACGAGGGTTTGTATGTGAGGATTACGATCATACGTGGTATGATCAGTGAGCCGGTTGATGTGGGATCAATCAATTGGAGTTTGGACTTGTCATGAAGCCGGGATCGTTCTGAGATAATGCATATCCTAATTGGGGCGCGGGAATGTAAGATGCATGCCATGGGTGGCGGCCACGGTTTGTGTCTCCCACAGGTAACGAGCGACAAGCTGGGATACCCGCCCCAAATGGGCGTGTTTTAGCTATCACCGCTGGCGAGGCTCTAAGAATCGTGGTTGGTGCTCGATTAACCGAGTGGAATATGGTGATACGGTCGTAAAAGAATGGACGAGTTTGTTTGTGTAACAAAATTTTCCCTTCCAGATACATCTAGTATCTGTGCGTTAGTGTCATTGTATGTTAGCTACACAAAGATGTTTTCTTTGTCTAGTCAACTTTTCGTTGCTTCTCTTTCTTCCGTCTCAACAATCTTCTCTATTTTTCTGATTCATCATCCGAACTCTCCTCCACATCTTACATACAATTAAATTCAGACACTAGTTTTTTGTTACATCACAGCAACTTGCTTCTTTCTTTTTCCCGCCCTCCCTCACCTTTTTGTGTTTCCTTTTAGCGCGTAGTCTTTTGTTTGTTTCCTTATTGAGTGTCTGTTTTATGTGTTCTCTAATGTTTGGTCACTGTTCCTTTCTTAAGATTTCTTCGTTTTTTCGAATATTTTGTGTATTTCTGTCTTCTCGTATTTTTTAGGAAGTGTGTTTTTGCCTCTGAGGCCTCCCCATGGGGAGCTGATAACTGTTTTCTATATTTTTTCTTAAATAGCTCATATATTTTTTCGGCTCTCTCTCACGCAATTTCCATTTCTGTTCGCGCCACCGCTCCGCGGTTCCGCTTCGCGTACACCACTATGCCCGTAGGGCACGCCCCACTCCTTCACACTGTGCACTCTGCCAAAGACGTGAACCTATTCCATGACACCGAATTGATGGGCTCGACGAGGAAGGATTTGATTTACTTGATTTCGTCATCGCTACGCAATTACAGAAGCCCTCGTGTAATAATCAAATACGGGGTTAGATCATTGTAATAGCTGTGCGCGAGCTGGTCGTGATGGAATGGGTATAATGCAACTTTGTTGTTTCCTTATTTTGTGACGTTTTCCTCATCCTTACTACTGCTAAGCAATCTTGCAACTACATGCCTTTATGCCCAAAGCCATTAATCGTCCACATCATTGCAACAGCCTTTAAAACTACCTTTTAAACAGTCCAGGTTAGTGATAGTCACGCATTCTAGCTTTAGTCTTTTCTTCGCATTTGCTTTTCGTGTATCTGATTCTTTGGACTCGTTGTAGCATCCTTCGAAAAGGTTTCTTTTTTGACTACGTCTTGAGGTCAGATTAAATGTTTCCTGCTCAATGTTGTGTTCCTGACGTGACATCCCTCCACGCGACGCAGTCTTTATAACATCGTTTTGAAACAAAGTCCTGGCCACGTAATATCGAAGTTCCTCCAGAAGCCAATCACAAGCTTTTAGTTATTCATCATCATCATCATCATGAAGAATCAAATTGGCTATCTAATCCCGCTTGCATTGCACGTTGGTTGCACAATCTCTCACGCGTCCTTTGGTGCGACCAATTGGCTCCCTATTCCTCATGAATCAAAGATTTATTATCTGACCCTCGGTCCTTCAAAGCAGCCCCACTTGATCCGCAGGCTGTAGCAGCCCAATATCGATTTGATCGTGAACAACCCCGTCTGCGAGCAGTCCACGCTGGTGGTGGTACGTCCTATATGAGCGATGTATTTAGTTAGCTAGGCTATCCGAGTCATCCGCTGATTACTTTAAAATATCATAGTCGGCGGACAAGGTACTTTCACGGTCACTACGAACTTTTCGAGCCAATATACCATGATGGACGTACTAAACGGAAGTAAGCTATATGTTTAGAATTGAGCTGGGATTGATTCATTTCATGATTTTCTTTGAATCTTAACGTTTTTTTGATCACTCATTCTGGTGTCAAGTTGGAAAACAAACACCAATAAGTTTCAGACTATCAAACGCCTTAGGTAATCAATATTTTGATCCCATCCTGCTTTTTTTCCGATGATATCCACTCACAGTATGAACTTTTTTGTAAAATTTACCTCAATTTGTGTAGGTGATAAAGGGGCCTATGACACAGCTAGAAACATTCTAGGATTTGGTCTCAAGTGAAGCCAGAATTATTTAGCTGTTTACCTTGAGTCATATTGAAAAGATCTTATCTCATTTTGAACTGCTTGTTCGTTCACAGATTTCGTACGAATCAAGGAATATGGGACCTGCTCAGTAAGTGCCAATATCTATCGTTTGATTTTCGACATCGATCTTATAGCTAAGCGGAATTCCTTCACTTCTGTCTAAACTCCTAAAGTGAACAATACTCCTATATTTTTCCGTTGGTCGCGCTCATCATCAAATTTCATGAAGCTTAGAACCAGAACGCGATAGTCTGACATTCCGTTCGTGACTCCAATTTCGAATCACAGTCCGAGACCCGGCCAAATTCCCCATCTTGATCCACAGTCAAGTTCGAAGCGCTGTTACCAATCTCCCTGACCCAGATCAAGCCTTGTAAGAAAGATTTGTTTTTTTCTTATACTATCATAAACTTCTTCAGGCGCGTCTTTCAAGTGATCAATATTTGAAAATATTCTTATTCTTTGATCTTGTCATGCAGCGGGTTTTTGGCCGACAATCCAGAGTCACTGAACCAGTTCATAAGGACACTCTCGGACGCTGGAATATCAAAAGGTTAAATTTTCCAGCTCTATGATTGGATGATCATGAACCTAATAGCAAAGCTATATTTACGTTTATCAGGTTGGCTACACGCAAACGCCTTCACTGGCCATGCTTACAGATGGATCAAGTCAGATGGTAAGTGATAGTCGAAAAAACGAAATTTGCGTGGACAATGTATGGAACCATAATGTATAATCCAGTATGGAACCACTCATGCAAAACTCTGGCATCGATTGCTCGTGATTTAGGCTCTTGGGTATATGTGAAGCTCTCGTGTCGTAGCAATCAGGGAACATCTAATTTTACACGTACTGAACAAGCCGCTGTACAAGATCCTTACTTTGCAGCACAGGTGAGCGATTGATTTTCTTACTGTTGATTTTGGCAGGTTCAACGTCGTTTTTCGAGTTGAAACAATCTCAATTAAATGAAAATGTTCTCTTCTTACCTTAGGAAATATATACATCAATCAAATCGGGCAAATTCCCAAGTTGGACACTTTTCGCTCAAGTTTTGACTCCTGCACAAGCTTCAAAATTTCGCTATGATGTTCTTGATGTGACCAGTTAAGCTCTTTTCTTCATATTTCCTCAACGCTAGAAAAACACTAAAAAAGGTTGCATGTTTGGTGTGTATCAGAAGAATGGCCTTCTTCGCTTGTTGAACCTCATGAAATTGGTAGATTTGAATTCAATAAAGTGAGCAAGAAATAACTCATTGAGAATATGTAATAAACTTCTTATATCATTTCTCACACATCTTCGGATTCAATTACACTCATAGAACCCATCTAACTATTTCACAGAGGTATGATAAGCTCCCATACCATTTATCACGCTCGTTTCTATTTTTTAAAGAGGTGTTCGATTCATAGGTAGAGCAATTGGCATTTTCACCGAGTAATGTGGTCCAAGGCTGGGCTCCAAGTGATGACCCAATTCTACAAATGAGACTTCTTGCTTATCCGGATGCCAATGTAAGCGTCTCTTTACCTCATCAAACACCAGTATATCCAACTCGGTTTTCTTACCATTATGATTTTGAAATACTTCATAGCGATACCGTCTTGGTTCCAATTACCGACAAATCCCTGTTAATTGTTATATGAAATGTCCGGGTTTGTAACCTCATTTTCTCCATTCTTTTTCATGATCACCTGTGTCTAATTCTGTTTTTTGATTTTGAATTTCTAAAGCACAAATATCCGTAGATAATTCTGATTGTCAACGAAGTACTCTTGCAGATGGACAAATTCCTACTACAAGAACTGTTCCTACCAAACCTGATCAAGTTGAGGTTTTTTTAATTCATTTTGAGAAAGCATCAAAAGACTAAACCTGAAAATCAATTTACACTCTATTTCCATAGTTGCCTGATATTGATTATGAGCAACCTAGATATTTTTACGGAAATTTAACCTCTGATCAAAAGTCTGAATTAATCAAGTTGAGTCCAATGCTGACCTCTTCAATTATAAATTATCAACATTGATAACTGATTTTGTCAACCTCAAACCCTCTCAACAACCAATCGGAAAACTCTTCAAGTTCCTTTGTGAAAGGTCTTTCGGGAGTACAAGATCACGATATCCGATCTCGTGTTCTGGATGTTATACATCATGCCAGTCCCGAGCTTGCTTCTAGGATCTCAGTTGCTTTATGAGTTTGATTTTCGTTTCAAAGTACATCTATGTCCATTCTGGTTTCTTGAAATAAGTTTCTTTTCGACGCTATATACCAGCCATTCCTCCCCTTTTCTCAAGGAAATGTTCTATTGCACAGCATCTAAATCAATCATTTACATTGATACATTCATATTTCAAGTTATTTCCTTTTCTAAAATAATTTTTACATTAATCTTCGAGATTCTATTGCGTACCTGAATTATTGGATCCTATTATGTACTCGGAAACAATCATCAAAAAGGCAAGGAAGAGAGAATAGAAGAATGATTTTTATGAGCATCAGAAAGAATAAGCGTGCATAATCCCTAATATAGAAGGCCTAAAACATTAACCCAAAAATCATATTCTCAAGATCTTGAAAATGCTCATGTTATCCTTCTCTAGTGATTGAAGCCCTCATAAATGATATCATTCTACACACATAGTAAATCAAGAAATTGCATAATATAATTCGATCAGTCATTAAAACCATTATCATGCAATAAAATCATCTAAATCATTTTCAGGTACTAAAAAACCATCAAACTTTTCATCAAATCCACCACCACTTTGACCTTGCACAATTCCTTGAATCCAATTAGTCACCACTATTAATTCATCAAAATTGAAATTATGTGATAAATTTGAAAAAGTTTTAAATTTGATTTGTTTGAATTTTTCATTAAAGATTGATTGGAATAGTTTAAAACCAAATTTAGATTTATTATAATCTAATACTTGATCTATAATTCCATGTATAAAGTATAATGAAGTTTTCTTATAAAGGTTTTGATTTGATGAAGTTAAGATTGGCCATCTAAATGGTAAAGGTGGATAACCTGACTTTGTAAAACAGAAGTGCAAGAGAAAAGTTGAAAACTTCAGTGATTCCCTTCTTCAGAATTAAGTTATCCTATTTCTAGCATTTCTAGGGAATCAAAACTCACCATAATCAATGTAGCAAAAGGAGGTTGAGGGAGTACCAAGGTAAGTAAAAATGACATAACTGCACCTGATGAATAAAACAAAACATCAACTTAACCTCAAAAAGACCTTCAAAATGAATATCTTTTCCTAACTCACCTTGACTAAACCCAGCAAGAATAGTAAAATCCATATCAATTTGACCTTTGTCAATTAAATCTTTAATAAGCTTATAAATCTTAATAGAACTATCTTTCAAACCATCCTCATCTTCTAAAAAATTCAAATCTCTCCAATCTTTAATATCAAACCAACCACGATGAATTTGATGATCAAAAACAGTAATAGGTCTAAAAGGAGCTTTAGGTAAAATATATTTGAGTCCAGTTAGTTGACCGATTTCTTGAAGAGTAAAAGGATTTGTTGATAAATCAGAATTTAGATAATCTTTAAATTCATAACTTTGACTTGCATTTAGATCACCTAATCCATGTAAAAAAATCATGGTCCAACCTTTACCTTTACCTTCTAGATTGATTGGTTCAATCAGATCATATTCTAAAGGATTTAAATTCTCTTGTGTGGTGGTTATCCATGAATTTCGATATTCTTCTGGTGTAAAAGTTTCTTTAATTGGTACGTTAAATGTCAAGTTTGAAATTGGGTTCAGAGTTGAATTCGAATTTGAGCATGAATTAGGATAATTGATTCCTTTTGATAAATCCGATTGAACTTCATTTTTGATTCTATGAAAATGAATTGGAAAATAAATTATAATAAAGATGATTATAAGCAATAAGATCGCAATCAAGTATTTTATATAATTCCTACGATGATGACGACGATAATGGTGATGAGTCTGATATGATTCTATACCACGAGATAAGTTTGTTTCTTGTTCTAAATCTTCATTAATCCCATGACATCTAAAACAATTCTTCTTAAAATCAAACTTTCTTATCCTACACGATAAAGATTTAGGAGGTTTAGATAAAAGATTAGTTTCGAGCTTTACTAAATCTTTTTCTAATGCACTTTCACTTTTAGTTGAAATTGGATTATTGATTCGATTATTAATTTCTTCATTATTAGATTTTATAAATATCCTTCTAACAAGTTTCTTAAATTCGTTCATCTTCATTCTTTCTCTTGACAAGCTTAAAGTACGATGATAAATTGATGATATTCAATTGCCGAATAAAAGTTGTTATAAATCTTATACATTTTGATGAGAGTGGGTAAATTGAATTCGAAAATGGAAACTGGAGGAATAGTAGCATACGGGAAGTTATATAAACAGAGGGGGTTCATAAGATTTTCGAAAAAAAAGAGATACAGTAACATAGTTGGCAATTGTCAATTTCAAACTTGTTTGCTCGATGCGATTGGAGATAAGCAGGTGTAAGCAGGGGCATCCGAAAAAAATAGAAGGCTAGAACTTCAATTTGCTATCGGCTAATACTATATCGCCCTTTCATCTCGCAATCCATCGTGCAATCAGCGTGTAAGGTGACTCCTGGAGTCCCAAGAACTGAACTTTAGAAGTCTTCAATCGCGATATGAAAACTCAGATTGGATATGTATTCTGACCACTGCATGAATCTCTTGAGCCAAATAATCTCAAAAGCTTTTGGAAAATCAACAAGTTAGGCATCAAGTTCATAAACAAACAAACTCGCTTTAAACATGAATCATACGACCGCAGATTTGATCAAGTTCTCATTCTGATCCCGCGGGTGCATATTTTTAAGTACACCGCGGGCGGTATCGAGGAATTACCTCAATCTCATCATAGGTATCATCATCCAAACTTTGAAAAACTAGCAACGCGCGACTTATGAGATGAAAAGGTTGTATGTATCACAAAACCTTTGAAAATTTACATGAAGATTGGAAAAAGTTAAACCCTTTCTTTCTATCTATTGGAAAATGTAGATTTACTACATACATATCTCCTAGATTTAATTTCAAAAATGATTTTTTAGAAAATGTGTACTAATGATAATAATTTCACAAAATTCCTACAAGATACATCAAATGAAATCAACAAAACAAACACTCCGATCAAAAAAATCAAACTTCACTTCTTTACAAATACTCAACAAATCATCAACAATCTGAATTCCATCTCATTTCTTCATCACCTCAACTAGTCCACTTTCGATTTGATCTTCTTGACTTCCACTACCACCTTCTTTCATCCCAACATTTCTTTCATCACTCATCATACCTTTAGGTGTAGGTGCAGGATTTTGAATCTCAGAACTCAATGAATTAATAACACGTTCAGAATTACCATAAATGCTTATTTCAGTTGTCATTTCATTCAAAACTTGATGGATCGTTTGATTTCCTTCTTCTTCTTCTACACTTTTCTTTTCCGAAACTCTGGATTCATCAGATGCAAATTCTCCAATTATATTATCTTCTTCATCTTCTATCTCATCTTCTTCTTCTTCTTCTTTTGATGATTGTTTTCCATTAGATTCTTCCTCTGAAACTGAACTCATCCTACGAAATTCTCCTGTTTTAGGTGGGAATCGTCCAAATGCGATTCGACGTTCCTTTTCTAATTTAGTTCCTTCTCTAGCCCATTTAGTCGAAATCTATTCAACAAAGCACAAAAAAATCAGAACAATCTGTTCTTATTTGTTCTTATTCTATAGATTCAAAAATGGTCAAAGAGCACTCACCTGAATCGCTTTATCTTTTAACATCACATTAGTTCGATCAGCTAAAAGTTGTGATTTAGATCCATTGGTTCCATGTCTTTTTAAGATATGTGCCATACAATCATATCTCTCACAATACTTAACCACCTCTTCAATCAATAACTCCTCTTGTTCTTCAGTCCAACGTTTTCTTCTTTTTTGATTAGGTGGAGAAGTAACTTTAGCTCCTTTTGCTTTAGTAGCTTTAGAGAAAGAATCGAGATCTGATGAATCAGATGGAGATCGACGTCGTTTGATCGGTTTAGTTGAAGGATCTCTTGACGTAGATTTCTTGATCTGTTTAGAGGGAGAAACTTTTTCTTCAGATGAAGATCGACGTCGTTTGCTCGGTTGAGTTGAAGGATCTCCTGATGTAGATTTCTTAATCAGTTTAGAGGGAGAAACATCTTCTTCAGCTGAAGAATCTTCTTCAAAATGTTTCGAAGTAATTTCTTTTGGTGATTTGTTTGAACTTGTCGTCACTCTGTGTGATTTACTTCTTGAACGCGTTGCTTTTGAACCCCTCTTCCATGGTTTCTTTACCTGCTTGGAACGTTTTTCTAAATTCTCATCTGAATCATCTGACTTATTATGATCTTTTTTAAGTTGTTTCTTTGGTCTTGAACCTGACTCAGTTGTAGGTTGACTTCGTTTAGATGATTTACTCGTTTTCACCTCTTTGTCTTTACCTTTGCCCTTATCTTTAGAAGTATTCTTTGGTTGCTCGACATCTTCATCTACATGTGTGATATTCTCAGCAGACGTATCATCAGCAGGATTATCTTTAGACGAAGAGTTTGGTTGAGGAGCACTCGATTCCACTGATGACTTTGGTGAAGCTTCAATTCCTTGTCGATTTTCCGATCGAGCGGTGGTTTCAGTTATGGACAAAGACTTGGCTTGGGGAGCCCTAGATTCCACTGATGACTTTGGTGAATCTTCAATTTCGGTGGTTTCAGTATCAGACAAAGACTTGGATTGAGGAGCACTCGGTTCCACTGATGGCTTTGATGAAACTTCGCTTTCATTTTCCAGTCCAGCGGTAGTTTCAGCGTTAGACAAAGAGGTAGGTTGACGAGCACTTGATTCCACCCATGACTTTGGTGAAACTTCGCTTTCTTGTTGATCTTCATTTCCAGCGGTAGTTTCCATAACCTCTTCTTGTATAGTTGTTTGAGTTTCATCAAAATCGATCTGTTTAGCATTCGATTTCCTTTCATTGAATACCTTCTTGGGAGAGGTTGATGGATTTGATGTTCCTTGCTTTGAAGGTTGTCGATCTGGTTTCTGAGGAATACTACTTGAATGACTATGACGACCAGAGAAAAACGTTGGATTTTTTTCAACTTGTCCCTCAGCAAAGTTAACGAAGTTGGCCGTAGCTTCTACTTCACCTCTATAATGAAGAATCGAAACCACGTTTTATTAGGAACCTCTGAACAAGCCAAGATGGAGTAAATGTATAATTGAGGGAGATGGTAACATACGCAACATTTTCATGATGTCGAGCCTGAGCAGTTCCAGCGCTTGGTCCGTCATAGGAGGCTGGTACACTGGTATCTTGACGGTTAGAGGAGGGTACCAAATGGTCCTCACAGAAACTGCTATCGTCATCTTCTGCACTCTCCTAGAAGTGCCAGAACGTTGATGTGAGACTTATGACGGTTTATGATAAAGAGCATAGACTTACTTCATCGTTGGCCGGCTGTACAACAAGCCCACTAGGTCCTTCCTTTGATGTAACTCGATCACTCGGCCCAGAACGCCTGGGCGAACTTCTAACCCCTGGTACAAGATGGGAGGTTTTTTTGCCTGAACCTTGAACTTGACTCTTTCTTGCATTTGATGGACGAGGAGTACGGGAACTCTCCCCCCAGTCGTGAACTACTGGCGGATTGGTTGGACGAACGTACTCAGGGAATCTACAACACACCATATCAATGACCAATTCAATGAATTTAGTATATGTATGCATTTCTGCAATCTTCTTTGGTTTATTACGGAACGGATATAACTGTATTTTCGAAAGAAAACATAAAATTACAAATCAGTTTCAATGAATGACTTTCTAAAAGATCCAGATTGAGAAGTCACTCAACAGATTGGTGAACCGATTGATAAATCTCTTCAAATTTTTCATTAGTTGATTTTTCAAATTCAGGTATAATTTCTTGATGATGATAATTTTGATGATGATTTCGATCTAAAAGTTGAATTAAATTCACCAAAGTTTTTTTTTCAACTTTAAAATCCGAAAATAAACTTGGTGTATTTTCTTCAATTTTATTAATTCCAATTAAAATCAATTTTTGAACTTCATATTCGATTAAAAATTTTGAAAACATTTCTTCTTGTTTCAAAGTTTGGGTGAAGTCTTGACTTTTAATCAGACAAGATAAAAATTTATCAATTGATTTATGTCCAATTTCGTATGGTGAAGTTAAAAAAGTTATAAAGAGTGATCCTAAATTGTATTTTAGGATTGCATCCCGACAAGCCGAGTCATGTGTCTCGTCATGTGCGATGAATGAATCTGGTGTTGTCCACATACTTTGTACAGCTGTGAGATGATCAAAAATGTAGAAATCGCAGCTATTTGTCAGTCTTGGCTGTGTTGCAAAAAGATAATCCAGACTTACCGGATGCAGCATCCCATGATGACTTTTCTGATTCACTCAATTGATAGCCCATTGATCCTTCTACTAACTCCCGGGACTCGAACGGAGTAGATAATACATTAGACCAAAAGGCATCAACACACATATTCAAGATAGTGATCTTGGTATTAATTGAAGGTTGAATATTAGACATCGGCTTAGATGAAGCACCTCTCTTGGTTGTGGAGGCCGAACGTTGTCGGTCTAATGAGATACTTTTACCAGAAGGACGAGAAGTAACTGATTCTTGAGCTGGATTGGGTGTAGGTGATGAAGTTTCAGATGGAGTTCGATTAATATCATCAAGATGATTTTCATTGACGGTGATAGTCGGTTTAACTTCGTTGGCGACTTTGTTCCGTTCACCTCGCTTTGGACGAGTTTGTTTATGTTTAGGTGGCATTTTGAAGCAGAAGAGATAAGTTTTTTTAAATAATCACTTCTTTCTTGATCGTCTTGAGATTGAGAAGTAATCAAGATCAGTAAGAAACAAATTAGGAAGTGATTCGATGGTTGGTGATGAGGAAAAGGAACAAGAGTAGAAGGTAGAACTAAGCTGAACAGGGCAAAGGATGTTATTTAAATCAAATCAGCTGAGGACCAAGTCGGATGAGATTGGAATCGCGACCCCTAACCCCTAACCCCTAAGTGGTTAGGGCTTAGGGGTTTGCTAGATCCACTTCTCATGATACACACAGCGCAACCTATGGACCATGAGATGTTCCTGAGTAATGAATCAGGCACACTTTGTGAATATCATGGTCATGCCAGGACATACCCACTTCAACAACCACTACAATAAAACTAGTCCTTGTCACTGCATCATTTGATTGGAAACAATGTTATTGTCCTTTACATTTTATCAAGGTAGCAACCGATATGGTCTACTACCTTTTTGAGAATCAGTTTCACTGGATTAGGATATTGTCATCTTATCAGAAATCAGAATGATCCATATGATGCCAAAGAAGTCACAAATCCGGCAAACTCTGTCGGGAGGCTCTCGGTCTGTTTACTTTTCTGAAACCTAACCCCAAAGAGTAAAATGGACTGAAATGTAGTTTTAAACTGTAGTTTTCATTTAATTTGATTTGATTGTGAATTTCCAATCTCCTGCTCGTCATCGTCATCACTCATCATCATTCATCCTCACACACCATCCTCATCGTCAGCTCAGCTTTAGCTTGATTACCAACTTCAATCAGAAACACATACACATTTCAACCACTCAAATGTCCGATCAGGGTATGTTATCGCCTTCAAATCAGTCTCTAATCCATCGTCAGCTCGTACACCATCATCCCAAACTTCTTCCTCTTGCGCCATACAATATCCGTCCATCCTTGCGCCTTTCAACCTTCGATCAGTCTTCATCCTAGTCTACCTCAGTATTCTCTGAAGTGCGATTTGTGAGGCCCACGCCTACGAGCGATCATCTCACAACTATCCTCGCATTATCTTGAAATCGCCGCCCTTTTCAGTCAATCGACTCGGGTGTGGTTTGTTCTTATCTTCTTTCTCCCCATTCTCTTCAGATTCCTATTTGCCTTTCTCGTATCCTTCTCACTTGACAGCTTTTCAATTTTACCAATTTCTATTTGATCAAGTCTGAATGGGTTAATGGCTATCAATCTATCGGATTCCATCTCTCACATATCGATGCTTCAATCCAAGTAGGATCGATCAGTACTTTTCAGCTTTCGGTTTACGAATCGCATCTTGCTTTTTGTGTTGTCGAGTCATGAAGAGCGCTATATCGCCATGTCTTTCCTTCTTCATTCGTCGCTCAACCATCCTCGGTAGCAGGTAACGTGAGAAATCAAATATATGATCTCGATTCACACGGTACACCGTCCAATTTGACTTGGGTTCTTCGGGGAGCAACCGATTCAGCTTCAACTGAACTATCGCTCCGTATCAGCTTTTCGCATCATCTCTACACCAATCAGTTTATGGCCATTGTCACTGGTCATCAAGTCCGATCCAAGACGATAAGGCTGGCAACAACATGATGATGATCTCATACACCGCAATCATTCATCCTCTTATCAATCCCAGTCCTGTCCGCTCTTTCAATTCTTTTCAGACACACTTCCTTCGCCAACCCAACACAATCATCTTTGAATCACATACCGAATATTTAATCATTTGACCTTTGCTATTTTCTCTTTCGATCATGTCTGTCGGTTCATCTTCCGGATCACCACATTCAGATTGGGATAACGGACCTGCTGTTGATCAACCAAATGGACAAGAAGAATCTAATTGGAACCGTAGCGAGGAACGTAGGGAACGTACACCAAGTCCACGTCGTACAAATCATCGAGAAAGAAGTAGAAGTCCAATAAGAGGATCTGCAGTCACTAGTGATGATCGTGGTCGGTATGTTGAATCAAGTTCTCTATGAAACTTTTTTTTCTTCAATCATTGCACGTCTCTTTCGCTCATACATCTTACTTGTTTCTCCTTTGGCTTGAACTCGATTTTTCTTTAGATCTAGTGATGTTGTCAATCCTGGCAACAATTTACATGTTTCAGGCATCAGTCTTCGTGTCGAAGATCGTGATTTAGAAGAACTTTTCTCCAAATATGGCAAGGTAAGTGACTACGATTCTGACCTGTTATCTCCTTTTTTGAGAACATCATTAATGATGAGGAGTTTTCTCTTGGAATGGATAGGTACTAAAATCACAATTGATGCGTGATCCTCATACTCGTGATCCAAGAGGTTTTGGATTTGTCACAATGGAAACTGCTGAGGAGGCAGAAGCTGCTATTGCTGGTCTTCATGGGACTGAACTGATGGGCAAACCGTTATCTGTTGAAAAGGCTCGAAGATCTCGAGGAAGAACTCCTACCCGTCAGTAGCTTTTATTTCAATTGACCGTCGTACATCAATCTAACTAGAAGGATCTTACATTGTGTACAGCTGGACAGTACCATGGTCCTCCTAAACGGGATGATGGTCATAGGCCGTATGAACCTCGAGGTGGATACCATGCTCGTTATGATCCTTATGATCGTCGATATGACGATCGTAGAGGTTATGATGACCGTAGACCAATCTATGATGATCGTCGATACCGTTATGACGATCGTCGTGATGATCGATATGGCTATGCAGCACCTATGAGGGACCGGTATGACGATCGATATGATCGAAGGAGAGACGATCGCGATTATGATCGTCGAAGATATTGATCATTAAGATTGAGTTTTCCAAGTCGATTTTTTCCAAACCAAGACCATCGCCTGTTTTCTCGAAACTTGACACGACAGGAAATTCGGTGGAAAGTCTTTTTGTCTAGATCTTTTTTCTTTGGATACCTGAATACTCGATTTACTAGGGAAGACACGGGCTACAAGAATTGAAAAGAAGATGTTTTTTTTTGAAAAGTGTTTGTTTCTATTTGAAAAAAACTGATAAGCTTAATCATGTGGAAGAAATATCTATATCAAAAAAGGTCTCTTTTTGTTTACCTTATTTTGGCTTTTTTGTATAATTTTGTTTGATTGTTTCCTCTTTACTCCTTGTAATGCTTTTCTCCCTATTCCAAAAATCTTTTACTGTCCTTGTTGTTCTTTATCTTTCCTTGTTCTGGTTTAATTTTCCCTTTTTTGTTTGGGATCAGAGAGTTCTTTCAGAAAGAAAAATGGGAAAAATCTTACTTGTCTTGATTTTTTGTTCCTTTGTGTGTGTGTGTTGATTTGATGATGTATAAAGTGTCGGCTACTGTTTTTTTTTTGAAAAATCAAACCAATCCTGAATCAAAGTTCTTTGGCACTTGAGGTTCATATATATATACATATCAATCCCTTATCGAAGGTTTGTGTTGGGTTGTTTGTAGTGTCGTGATAAAAATCATTTCTTGTTCATCAAAGGACATTTATTTGAAATTTCTCACTTGCAAAAATCATTCAAAGAAATTGGAATGACTACTATATAAGAAAGGTGAGTTGACTTTCTTGCTTTGGTGGTATTGGCAAACTATACTATACCATACTATACTATACTATACTATACTATACTATACTATACCCAAAAAACTGGGTCCAAAATTATTGGTTTTCATGGAGTATCTGTTTTGTCAGAGCAAATTTCACTGAAAACTAAAAAAATGAGAGTATTGGTCTTGACAAATATTGGTTATATCTGAGTCTACTGCGCTCATTGAAGGTGTTTTGTGAGGAAATTTGCACAAAATAGAGAATTTTCAAGAAGATTGATTATGTGATAGATATCATAAACTTTAGATTGGACAAGTCTCTGACAGGATCACTGAAAGATTTTTCAACAATACATACATACAGCCATTCCGATATTGCTTGTTGCTCCGTTTTGAAAAAGAAAAAGTTGAAACCTAAGTTTTTACTTGATAAATTTCAAACTCAGCTGTAATTCAAGGCAATACAGCCAATTTCCAGGTTTTAACCAGTTAAAACTTAGGTTTCAAGCTCACAAACTTTTTCTTTTCAAAAGGGTGCGACAACCAATATTGGAATGGCTGTACCTAAGTTTTAACTGGTTAAAACCTGAAAATTGGCTGTATTTCCTTGAATTACAGCCAATTTCAAAGTTTTATGGAGTAAAAAGTTAGGTTTAACCGAGTTTCACTTTTTCTTTTTCAAAACGGAGCGACAAGAAATATCAGAATGGCTGTAATGTGAAAGTGTTATTTAAAGGAAGATGATCAGGATGAAGGTATTGAAGCTAATCTAAAAAAGTCCCTCAAGGGAAGAAGTGTTACATAAGTCCAGGACAGTCAACACTGGGTGAAATTCCATGCACATATTGATATGCGCAACACATGTTGATTGGTGTCATTGACATGGACATGTGTTGCACATATCAATATGTGACTAAAGTGCAAACGTTAACTGGACAGAATCAAAGCATATACAATTGGGGTACCCAAAGTGAGTATGTATGTGTACATACAGCTGTTCCCAGAATGGTTCATCAGAAATTTGTAAAAAGTTCATCAATGCAGCAGATAAAATAACTGTAACTTGTTTTGCCAATATTTCCCAGAACCAAATAACTCACACCTGGTAAGCGGGTTGACCAGTGCCTTTCCACGTCAAATCTTATGAACTGATGAGATAGGGATATTTTCACCACTAGCCATGAAAGCCAAAAGATTATCATGGAGGATTTAGCACATGTATTTCAAAAGATGTACAGATGAATCATCACAATGACACATGATTGTCATTGGAGGATTATCTTCCTTCCATATTGCTCAACTTCATGAAAAGAAAAAACTCAACAAAACCAAAAGTATGAGTTTTTCACAGGAGAGAATTTTGAAAAAAATAGACCAACCATTGTGGGAACAGCTGTACTTCTTGGTGCATAATCTTTTTGTCTTTTTTCAAATCCATTTGCAGCCGGGAGAAGTATGTTTTTCCATTGGCACAACTTGAGTCTTTCACTGCCCATGCTGGTTGATCATCACCCTCTAATCACCAAACATAAACACATCCACTATTCCTGATCAAGAAACTTCTTGCCTTTGGCCAGCTCAAGGCATGATCAATGAAGTAAAGAAGAGAGATGCTGAGGACAGGAAAAGTATGCACTGGGTCCTCACAGCTAGAAACCTCTGGAGAGTTCTGGACCTAAATATACTTTTTTATTCTTGATCACTGCCAGCTCTTGTACTGCGGAAGAGACACCAGTGGATACCAGCTATCCAATGGCTCCATACCAAGCATAAGCCAGGCCTAGCCTGTATTGGTGCCAGTGAACCAGATACAATGTACTCATACGTGTTTACTCCATCCACTATTTTCAGATTTACTGTGGACATTGTAGAGAACCCTATTAATGGCTATGCCTGTCTTTGTTGCCCTGAAGCTGGTACCAAGGAATGTCCTGCATGTCATCGACATCCTTTGGCCACATGTGATTAAGTTTGGTTCTGATGCATGGCTTTCTATTGATTGTTCTTAGTGCTGGTCTGAAGAGCCAATCATGGACAATTTACCTCTAGATCCCTGTGGTTGTACTGTTTTCTGTTCAGGCCGGTACCATTCTACAGAGACACATTTACCCTGTACAGAGTCTACACACCTCATCAGACCTCTTGTCAACACAATATGAAGTATACTACCCACCTCCTCCAAACCAGGTGTGACTTTCAACATATTGTTCTTCTTGAATATTTCCTCACCAATATCAACCTCCCCTGTAGATTTCATACTATGCTGAGGAACCTTTGCAGGCTTTGATCAAGTACCTTGGCTCAATTTTCTACAGCTCTACTCTGCATCAGTTTTGCCAGATCTCTGGCTCAAGGGGCAATGATTTAACTGCCGGTTATTGATGAAAAATCAAGTTGTTACATTGAAAATTTGATTGGCAACATCTGATAGGTTTTCCACATACAGGTGCAAACAATCAGTGGATTGATAGTCTGAGTTGCCCATCAAGTACTCCATTGGACTAAATTTGAGAGTCTAGGCTTATAGTCATTCACTATCTTAAATAATTGATTTGAAAGTCTATCCCCTTGATCACTTCATCCACAAACACTTGTTCTTTAGCTCATTGAATTTGTTTGATTAAAGGATATTCCAAGAGGAAGGAATGAACTCATAACACTTGCAAGAAGATACTTTTTTATGTGTGTTAATATCATTGGACTGGTGGGTTCTTTCTCAAATTCTTTCAGTATGTGAGAGTAAGTGATGATTATGCTGTATCAATCCACTTTACCTTGTTGGGTCTGAGGCTAGAACCCAAAGTTGTTTGCCCTTTCTTGCAATTCACCTGACTTCCAAGATGTGTGCAATGTCAGTGCTCCAAGTGTGTTGAGGGTTTTTTCTTTTTTTTTTAAAGTGCACTAAGGCATTTATTGCATGAAACACTATCTAAACAGTTAAATTTTAGAGACTAATACACCTTTGAAAATTCGGCCATTTAGTCGGAACAAAGGATTTCGATGCCATTTGATGTCAAGTTTTTATTTTCTTTCCTGTTGAGGGGTTTGTTCTAAAATGTCCAAGGCATTCCTTTACGGATACTTGTCGCCCTGATGTTGAAGTTAAATTCAGGGTGGCCGAAGACAAACACCGAACGTTGATGAAACATTGAGACTGAGTTTGTCCTTAAGATCTAAAACCCTATCGACCTGTAATTAATTTAGATACAGCCACGAAGAACCTTAAATAGTTAAATCTGAAATTCCAAGTTGAGCTAATATGTATGACTTACATAAGATCTCGCTAGCACCTCCTTCAAGTTCACCTTCATTACCTATCATATCATCAACTTGAACCTCTCACCTGACCATCATACTTGACTTCCTCCACTCACTTAGCTACTTTCCGTCAACTACTCATTCTCATCATCAAAATGGCCGCCGCTCGACCCAACTCAACTCGACCTGCTTATCAATTTAAATGTAGGTTTTGGAAGACTTGTTGACGTTATATCCATGCAGTACTTCCTTCGAAACAATAACTAAGATAAATATGTCTTATTGTCTACCCTCTACCCTCTAGTGGTCCTTCTTGGCGAATCTGCGGTCGGGAAATCGTCACTTGTCCTTCGATTCGTTCAGAATGACTTTCAAGAGTGTAAGTCAATCTATCTGACTTTGAAACTCACGTTTGAGCCATATGAATGTGCATCCGACCCAGCAGTTGCTCGTATCCTGATTTTGATACTGTGAAATTTAGATCGGGAAAGTACGATCGGTGCAGCTTTTCTGACTCAAACAGTTCAGCTGGATGACCAAACCACGATCAAATACGAGGTCCGTGACTGTATCCATTTCCCCATACGACCCAGATTGTCGTATGTGTCAGCACCAAATTACTTATCTCATGGGATACTCTTGGACTGCACGTAGATTTGGGATACTGCTGGCCAAGAGCGTTATAAATCACTTGCTCCAATGTGTGAGTTATCCTCGAAATTATCACCGTTTCGGAAATTCATTAAATCCCCAGATCATTCAAAGTATCAAGATGGACTTATTCCAAGCTTTTTGAAACACATTAGATTATCGAAATGCAAATTGCGCCGTGGTGGTCTATGACATCACTTCTTCAGTATGTTCCATATGATCTTCCAATCCTTCCGTTAAACTGATAGCATGTTTACGAATTCTCTCAACATAGGCATCCCTAGAAAAGGCCAAAAATTGGATACGCGAACTTCAGAGGCAGGCAGATTCTCAAATTGTCATTGCCTTGGCTGGCAATAAAGCTGATTTAGAAGAACGAAGACAAGTCTCAACAGCGGTATGTAGTCAAGCTTGCCATCAAATCAAATTCCAGTATCCAACTCCAAATCAGGAAGCCATTCTATTTGATCTTCTCTGAAACCCCCTTGTGTGTATTTTTATAATATGTTTTTGTAGGACGCACGCCAATTTGCAGAAGAAGAGAATTTACTGTTTTTCGAAACTTCGGCAAAAGATGCCACAAACGTTCATGAGATCTTTCAAGCCATTGGTATGTCTTAACATGAAAAGATGTACCATTTCAAAGCCTGAATACACTTTGCTATCCTTGCCAGTCTATGTATGAAAAGTTGACTTTGTTCTGTTTGTTTTGGATTTCTTGTATTCTCAGCTAAGAAACTACCACTTGATTCAGCTGCTTCTCGTGGCCCTCGGGGCAGTGCTGGACCAAACCGAGCTGCAGGTGGAGTAAATCTCAACCAAGGAGCAGGTGGTGCTGATGGTGATGGGGCATGCGCTTGTTAAAAAGCTTCAAGACATCTCACTCATATTTTTTACATTTTTGTTTGTGCCCGCACGATTCAAAAGATATCGGTTCTTTTTTTTGTTCTGTTAGTCTTGTAGGTAGTTGGTTTTTTTACTTTCGTCGGCGTACTTGTGTATTGTATCGTCTTTTTCCTTTTTCCTTTCCGCCTCCCTTGATCGTTTTCGGTAAAGTGGGGCCTTATGTGAATCTCTTCCTATGTTCAACTGATTTACAATGTCTCTTTCCTGCTACATTTTTTCATGCAATGTTTGATATATGACGATATATTTTCACGGGAAAGAAGCCTCCATGCTCTCAAGACATCATATCCTTTTAGACATGTGTCTATTGTCTAAGGAGGTTTGAATAATCATTTGTTGTTCTGAGTAGCGAAGTGAGGAATTTTGAATTCATAGCAGCATGACCAATTTCGGCCGCATAACCCGAGCAACTTGGCGGGCGATGGAGAACAAGCTCAGTGCAGCAGGTATTAAAACTGAAATCAAGTCCAAAGCCGTTGTACGTTATGAAACCGATGTGAAAGGCTTCAAACAGCTTCAAACGGCCGGATTGCGAGGGATATATCGTCATGGAGCCATGGGCTGTTGCCAAGATTATATGCGATGGTTTTCGATGTAGGGGCCTTCCGGGGTCCTCCGGCAGAGCCTAGAGGTGAGTTTTTGACGGCAGGATCTAGGTTTTTTCTCCTGCGCTGCCAGTTGTCAACCTTGACTTCTCCTGCCTCTCATGAGCCCCGCTTGATGCAATCAGGAGCACCCAAATTTATGCATAAGCAAGTCCTGCCAAAAGGAGCTTTGAGGCAAGCGTACTCGATTTTCTTTTGTTGGTGTACTGCAAACGTGAGATGCTTCTCTCATCACGCTTTCGTCCTCCAAAAATTTCATTCAAATGTTTGTGTGACCTGCACAGTCAACTTAGTATGTTCATCCGTTTTGTTCATCTACCAATGGGCCGAATGTGTTATATGAATCTAACAGAATGTAAGCTCATCTGTGGTCCTCTCTTAACCCCTTTGATTGGTTTAAGTAGATAATTATGACCAGGCTTTGCACAATTCACAAGCAATTCTTTGATGTTTGTCCTATCACCTTTTTGGATGGGTCTCAAGGAAATTTCACTGATTGATTTGGTCTGACAACTCACCCTTGCAGAACTTGATTATTTACCAACTTAGTACACTGTCATGAATCTTCACATTATGGCGGCCATTGTTAGGATCTCTGTATATTTCAAGCAAGCCTCTGGTATATTGATCTTCACATCATCTTGTACTGAGCAGTCTTTAACCAATTGATCTCAAGTCATTTTTATTCACATCTCTTTTGGAATTTTGACTTTGAGTACCATATATATTCATCATATTATGTTATATCTATGCATGATCAAAATTTTCTATTCCTTTTGCAATTTTTTGATCAATGAGAAGCATTTTACAGATGACACAGATAGGAATAGATGGGAAGTACAAAGTTAAATAAGGTAAACACATGAATTCAGGCTGTGAAGCCACATAATCACAGAATATAAGAATATAAGATGCTTGCTTTGGTGATCTAGGCTACCTGGTGAGAGTGACTTTTTCCAAAAAAATATTATTTGATATTCTGGTTCATCTTCTAGTCTTCACAACCCTTGTTGATTTCAGAGGAATTCAACATAACACCAACTTAATGTTTCTTGATCAGAACAATTTACCCAAGCTCAACAAATGTTATCACACCGTTAGACAATCCTTATAAACATTAGGTTTTTTATGACCAACCCAAATATCTCCAACCCTAGAAACTTGTTGATCAGTTGGGTACAGCAAGGAGTTCAGGTATGTGAAAATAGAGGGTAGGTAGAGACAAAGATAATCAACCCAAGTGAGATTGCTTTAGTAACCTCTGGTTGGGATCTCCATCACGATCCATTTTCAATATGTACTTGTGTAGAGTTGCATCTGCTTTTTCATTTTTAAATTTACTAGAAGTGCATTGTTAAAATTTATTCAAGCAAAGAAAACACACCCAGCAGTTGATTTGAATTATTCCAAAATGGTTTACTCATTCAATTTCAATTATTCACTACTCAAATCATTCTATTAAAAAATGTCATCAGTAAAAGCATTCTTGTGTTTAGGAAGTATACTCATATGAAGACATCTTATTGATGTACAATGTGATTTGCATCCTTGAGCCCAGTTACTATCTATTGTGTGCGGTTGGTTGATTGAAAGTCTCTAAGTGGTTGATCTCATAGACTGATTCTCCCACTTTTGTGATTTACATTGATGGAACAGGCATGAACGCTGTTGGAGTCTCCACCAAGACATAAATTGAGGCTCTTCTTTGACCCCTTTCTATTCGATTGAAAGGATTTGAAGAGGCCACTTTTGTATATGGACAAGTCTACACATACCAAGCTTGTGATTATCTATCAGGAGTTGGTGGATCCTTCTTCCTCATATGTATGAAGTTCACAATTTGTGTTATAGCTGCGATGAATTTGGTTTGTGAGCAGATCAGTGATGGCGATAGTTTTGATTTTCAAGCTCGATTAACTTGAGAGTTAACCTAACCCAATTAACTCAATTTAATTTACATAATTACTTTTTCCAAAACATATAAAACCCGACGGTCAACAGAAATTCGAGCGGTCATCCACCACTTTCAAGTTCATCAATCACATTCACATTCTCATTCTCAAACATACTTTCATCTCTTTACATTCCTGCCTTTCTCGATTCAAGATGCCTGGCGATCAGGGTATGTTCAACCAAACACCTTCACCTACACCTACTCCAGTATACCACCTTCCAAGTCGGGAGTAAAAGCAAAAATGTCCTTTCATTCACCCTCACCCCATCTCGCTCGCTACATTACCTCCTCTCGCCCTATCATCTGAAGCTCGTCAGCATATGTTGCCCATCTAGCAATCATATCTGTGTCAGACATTTCAACAGCTGCGTCCTCTTACTAAGACTATCCATCAGTCTTTGGGCTTTGGGTCCATCAACCACGGCAGTCATTCCACTTCTTTATCATTCTTGATCTCGGCTCGACTGTTGTCGGCTCGTTGCAATCGTCTCGAATGTATATCGATAACGCTTCGAATAGCTCAGTCTCGCCACTTAGTCTGCGTATCCTGATCACGCGGTCACATGCGTGACCTCATGTTCAGTTCGGTCCTCATGTCACCTCACCTTGCCTCGCCTATCGTATGCTGGTGATTCAAAAAGGTGTTTCGACCTGTCCTTTTCGACATTAGTTGCACTTCACTTCAACCTTTGACACCCCATCATCGGCTTGCTGCTCGATCTCTTGCTCGGCCTCAGTTTCACATCTTCGGATACTCGCCTCACTACTCATCGATCTCAGAACGCCCCTTACGCATCAACGCTCCCGCATCTACCCTATCACCCCCATACGCTTGTTTTTTGTACTAAAACCTTTCAATTCCCCCGTTGTCATGCTGGTTTTCTGCTGCGACGTAGATTGGGCCGACGGACCTGCACCTGCCGAATATGGCCGTCAAACCGACGGTGGTCGTCGATCCGGTCGGTCTGCGAGTCCCAATGGACCTCCTCGTAGAGACCGCAGTCGGAGTCCAATGCGTGTCGAATCCGAGAAACCCATACCTCGAGGACGGTAAGCCGAAGCATCCATTTTCTGAAAGGTCATACCATCTCCTGTTGTAGATTAACTGACAATTTCATTGGTTTTCATCTCTGATCTTCACATGGCCCAGTGGCAACAACGGTGACCACAACCCAGGAAACAATCTCCATGTATCTGGCATTAGCAGCCGAGCTGAAGATGTCGATTTGCACGAGCTGTTTGTCAAGCATGGTCGAGCAAGTTTCTACCGCACTCTGAATTCATCCAATGGTCCTCTAATGAATGGCCTTGCCTTGAATTTTTTCTTTTTTGATCCACAGGTTCAAAAGGCGCAGCTCATGCGCGACCCTAACACTAAAGAAATTCGTGGCTTTGGTTTTGTGACTATGGAGTCTGCTGAAGAAGCTGAGGCTGCTATGGCTGCTCTCAATGGCCTTGACTTCCTTGGCAAGGTACTATCTGTCGAGAAAGCACGCAGAGGCAGAGCTCGCACTCCTACACGTAAGCTGCTTCTGACAGCCTTTCCAATCGCCCGCCAACACTAACATATTCTACCACCGTGCTCTTCTAGCTGGTCAATACCACGGCCCACCCAAGCGTGATGAGCGTCGCTATGATCCACGAGGTTACGGTGGCGGTCCGCGATATGACGACCGCGGAGGCGGTGGTGGCTATGATCGACGTGAACGTCGTTTTGATGATCGCGGCCCACCTAGTAGAGATGATCGGTATGGGTATGCTGCTCCTATGAGACCAGAACGTGAACGTTATGATGAACGTCGAGATTATGATCGACCTCGTCGTGATGATCGTGATTATGATCGAAGGTATTGAACAATTATAAACATTTTTTTCGTGTCATTCATCCTCTCTGTTCTTCATGTCTTCAAATCTTCATTTGGTGTTAGTCATATCTGTGAAACATGCAGAATTTTGTAATATAATAATATCTCTGGACCAGTTTATTACTCCGATCAGGGTGATTTCTCGTGGAAGGTCTAGTTACCGTCTGCTTGATGAAATAAGCAGGAACCCGATAACTGTCTCCCTTTCGTGAGAAGCCCTTCCGACATTTCAAGCTTCAGACCATTGCATATTCGACTCAGTAGGAGTTTGTGGTGTTTGATGTAAAAGGTAGAGGGTTGGGTATCCCTCATCTCACGCGGTGGGCGCGACTTTTCAAAAAGGGAGCGCCTCGGGCGCTCCCGTACAGGCCTGGGCGCGCTCATTTTGGCTGAGGGCGCGACAGGCGCAAAAGGCGTGATTTTTTTTAACATTCGTTGAAAAAAGTCATTGGACTCAGGGATGCAGGAGTGAGTATGAGTTTACTCAGTAAGAGCATCTCCAACGGTGCCTTGTAAACGTAACAATACGTAAGCTGTATGTTACGTTGACAGGGTTGGGTCAAAAAATGACCCTCCACCGGTCGGCAGATTTCTCACCTCTGGCCACTCGTGTGAAGTTTGGTTTGAGGGATACTGGGTATCGCATGTCAAGACCTTCATGCATGAAGGGCTTCCGCAAAAGATGCAGGAAGCAGTATTGGCGACGTTTGGGACATAATCATACCACATGCGTCCAAAGATAAATATGATAATCGAAAGAAATTACATATCAAGTATATAGTCAATGAGATATCAGTCAACTTTTAAAAGGAATATCGTGCGCTTTCGGTGTTTTTGGCAGGAGCACGACCTTGGAAGTCCCTCCATCATGTGCGCGGTGGAGGGAAATCATTTTAAAGAAAAAATACAGCTTACTGTATGTTTTCAGACAAGCCTGTACGCCTTTTGGCGATTCAGGACCGTTGGAGATGCTCTAAAGTGAGTATTATTGAGTATACTGAGTATTTTTGCCTATTTTTGGCCCTGTAAACCCGTACACCAGGGGGTAAATGTCCTCGGCCTCGGATGGTTCTGGACACGTGTCCAGGAATTTCGATGAGATGGCGTTTCAAAACCGGCCCAGTCACGAAATTTGTGAGAGCCGTAATTAGAGCTTGCCTGACACCGGTTGAACCACGTGTGACAAACACACGTACTTTGACCGGTCCCCACCTCCGTCTCAGGAACGATCCAGATGTCAGAACGGGATGAGGTCGTGACCGAGACGGTGTTTTACGGATGTGAAACGGTAAGATGCCGTTCCGCTCCTGCCCGAGTTTGGCTGTGTGCAGTCGTTCACGCAGCCACCAAGGCGGAGTGAGATGAGATCATAACGCTTCATTACGAACCGTTATGATCGAAAATGCCCAGGTTTGTCCGATCTTGCAAAAACTGGATTCGTCATCAGGTTTGTCTGAAGCGCCCTATCAGACCAATCCCAATTGTTCGCACTTGTTCTCCTCACAGTATACTGAGACTAATCTGTGCTGATCGAGCAAAAGATGTGTAATGGTTTCTTTTTTGGAACAAAAGGAAAACAAGATGATTTGAATTTAATAAAAGGATAGATTACCGCTATCTTCTCAGTCGCATTCAAATGGATTTGCTTCCTGATCGAGCAAAAGATGTGTAGTAACAATCGGGTTTTTTAAAAACAAACAAAAACCATTCTTTTTTTAAGAGAAACAAAAGAAAACAATATAAGATGATTTGAATGTAATAAAAGAGAAGGAGATTACAACTATCCTCTCTGTCATATTCAATGACTTCTCTTTCTGATCGAGTGAAAGAAGTGTATCTTGAAAGACAAAAGAAAATGATTTTGGAACTGATGAAACCATCTCGATCCATTGCTTTCTGATCGACCTGAAGTGTAATGAATATCTATCTTTTTAAAAAAGGAAAAAGATATAAGGTGGCTTGAACTTATAAAATGATCTTGTTTGATTGATTTCTGATCGACCGAATGAAATTTTAAAAAAAAGATAACCCAATTTTCAAAGGTATTTTGAAAGCTCTGACAGTCGCCGTGGGTCAAGACGGTGAAGATGACATGTTCCCTTCAAGGAGCACCTTATCAATCATATGTTGATAATAATCTCGAGCCTTGAACATTAGATCCATCGCGGTTCCAAAACGAATGCCCCATTTGACCATGTGATTGACGTTCAAGAACCGTGGGTACAGGAATTTGGCAAAGTTATTAATTCGATGTTGTCGGAAAATGTCCATCACATCTTGAATCTCATCACGAGGAACAGAGGCGTATTCAAGATAATCCTTGAGATTGTTCTTCGTCTTTTGGATCAGGTTTTTGACCATGGTACGAGACACCGAGATCGATCGGCCTTGAAATTCAACATAGCCACCCTTCATAGAGTCTGGCAGGCTGTTGATGTTGCATTTAACAAGGTCTTGATAATACTGACGTGCCATGAAGATGAGGTCCATTGCTGTTCCATAAGGAATCCCCCATTGTACCAAGTGATCAACATTCAGAATCGCTGGAAAAAGAAATTTTTCGAACGAGTTGATGCGGTGTGGACGTAAGATGTTGATCACTGAATCGATTTCGTCTGGTGAAATGTCAACGTAAGATAAATAATCTCTCATTGTTGTTTTGCTTCTCAGCAAATCAATCGTATCATGATCCACCGTTATCGAGCAGCCTTGAAACTCCAAATAATCAATTGTCGCATCATCGAACTGGGTATTGGGTCCCCCGTTCCCCGTCAAGCGTGCCATCTTCTTGGGGGTAGGAGGTTCAGACTCCTTCTCGCAGTCTGTGTCACTAGCTGCTCTTTTAGCATTGCGGCAAGGTGACGAGTTCTCAACCAATGACTGGTTCTTCGGATGATTTGATCGAAAAAAAAATGAGTATATTGAAAAAAGAGATGATTCAGATGGGACATTAAACCGCTCACTGAAGCCAAATTGGGGTCATCCATTGTCACAATTGCACCTGAGATATTGATTGATTGGAGGTTGAAGGTGATGAGGTGAGAGGTGATGACTTGAAGACGAGCAACTGCAATCGGCAGGAAAAGCAAAAAACTTGGCCAAGTTTTTTTTGAATTGCACAAAATCCACCTCGATCAATTGAAAAAAAATACAACCACCTGTCAAAAGAACTTTTTGAGGTTTTGTTGAGGACGTGGAAATGAAATTTGTCCCAAAAAACACAAGTTCCATCCACCTGCGACTCACCTTGACTTACACACAACTCATGTTTCCCAGCTCTCAACGTTATCAAAGGAGCCCAATGGGATCCAATTACGATCGACTATCGACATCCATCATACCCAGGACCCGCTCAGCGTCTGATGCCTTTGGGTTGGACAGCCGCCACCAAAACACCCCTAACCTGCGGCACCGCTCGTCGCAGAATGGGCCCATCCAGGAAGATGAGCCTGATTATCGTGCTGCGTTAGGTGACACATTTTTCACACCCGATATGATGCGATCCGAGTCAAGACCACATTCATCAGGAATCAGTCCTGAGGAAAATGTGGTTGACCCACTCGCATTATCAAATATGGTTAGCACAATTGGTGCTCAATTCGGTCTCACTCCGAGAGCAATCTCTGAAGTGGACAAAGTTCTTCAGGTAATGTAGCATCTGTAGCCCAAAATTGAGATTGAAACTGATGCTTTGGTCTTGTTGAAGTAGCAACCCAATGAACAGAGCCGCCAGATAGCACTGATTTGCTTCTTGGCCTCACAGTTTCCAGCCAATCGCCAGTCCAACTCCGCGGATCAAGTCACAGTTACGGTTGGCCCCCCAATGGTTCAACCTAAGGGTGATCTATGGAAAGCCGAAGATCGCCTTCGAGTGAGTCAATATCCAGGAACACAATGATTTTTCTATGTTATACTAACATGAACATAGTATAGACTTTCATTCGAGATTTGATTAAAGACCTGCTTATGAAATCATCAATACAAGCCTACTCAACATCAAACTCATTACGCAAGCATCCCATCGTAGAATCACTCGAGAATCTAGTGATTGTGAGTTCCATTATATCTCGATTTCAACCTTCAAGCTGATGTTGTACCCAACCCTAGGAGGCACTAATGGCTGTCGATTGCAAAGTCAAAGCCAATGAATTGCCAGAAGGATTTCGAAACAGTGATCTGAATGCAGAAGGTTTAGTACGAAAGATTGTTAAGGAGATTGCTAAAACAGAGAAAAGCAAATTCCAAAGTGCACTCCTTGACGGTATCAATAAACCGGCAGTCGGTTCTTTAGTCCCTAAGTTGTACGATCTGTACTTTCAGCTTGGCCGTACACGAGCTCCTAAGAGCTTAACGATATCTAATGATGTGATCTGGAGCATGATCAATCTTGCTGACAAATGTAGGATTGCACTTCTGGTGAGGTTGAACCAACAGTCAAAGACTGTCTGCACGACTCGGCTGATAGTTATTGTACACACCTGCTCTATCTAGCGTCTTGAAGGTACCATTTTCCACCTCCACGCCAAGAACCCAACCCAGCCACGCAGCGGTCCAAAGGATAAAGCCGACCGATCAATATGGGACCCAGTTGATGAGCGCCTGGCTTGGGCCAGAGACCTCCCCCCCCTGGAACAAAAGGCGTAAGTACTTCTCTTACTATATGTATGATCTTCACTGACATTATACGCTGTCGTAGCTTTTACAGATGGATCATTAAGTACGACAACCGAATCTTCACAGGCAAAGAGACCTTTGAACGTATCAAAACATCCAATGACATTCAGATTATAACCCAAGAGGCCTTAAAGGAGTGGATCATACAAGGTGAACCACCATTAGCATGATAAACAATAATATACAACGACCTAAAAACATGTAAAGGAAGAATGATTTTGAAGACTCGTGTCGCTTCTTTCATTAACTTCTTCATTCATCTGATTTCAAGTTTCTTTAACACCTTTTCCAACTACTTCATAACCTCTTCAGCAGGAAGATCTTGTAGTTATTTCCTACCTACTACATACAATTCATCTGGCTAAAAGCATGTTTTGTGAAATTCGGTCTTTTGAAATGAAAGAAAAAACAATCCCATCGATGCTTTGTAACGTTCACTGCATTCGTATCGTTTCACCGTAGCTTTTCACCGCAAAAGCGGTCGAACGATACCGTACCTGCGGCCCTCTCGCTGATTCTGTTCCAGGCCAGGAACAGCGAGGCCACGTGTCAGTCTCGTTCCGGCCTTGAACTCACTGTTCCGGGGACGTATCAGAACTTCCCTGGAACAGTTATTGAAATGGTCTCGGGCGGATTCACATCCAGTGATTGATCCGTCCAGGAATCAATCCTGTTCGGTCCCCGCTGGACACGCTCTAGGCACGTCCCAAATCAATAGAAAAGTGACACGTGCCTGTGACGCTGTCGATTCAGATTTGGGACGTGCCATTTACCCCCTGGTGTACAAAGTGAGTATCAGTTGAGTATATACTCATACTCGGTACTCATTCCTGCATCCCTGATTGGACTACTTATTACTTTTGCTAAAAAGCTTGGCCTGAATGAGAAAAAATAAAACAGAATTAGACCCAGAATTCCACCGCAGCAGTCACAACGCAGCAGAGAGAAAAAAGTTTTAGGGTGCTCAGACAACCACACCTTGGCAGATCCCACTACCCCTTGTGTTGCTCACAAACCAATTGCTTTGCCTGGCTCCCTCTCCCTCTGTCATCTTCACCACCCACTGCACACAATCCAGACAAACCAAGCGATGGATTCCTCAAGATTTCTCAACTCAGAAAGGACTTTCCAAGGCTACAATACTACATTTAATAACAATGCTAAGAGATGTAGACCCTCAATGACCAAGAAACAAAACACTGTTCAACAAGGAAAGCAGCCATCTGTCGTGTGAAAATCTACAGTGTTCCTCCTATGTTGATAACAAGCATTTGTTAAAAAATGAAACAAAGACATGATGTTGAAGCTTTTAGTATCTTACATATCTGCAACCTGTCCAGTACCAAGCCAAAGAACAAAAGTCTAGATTGAATACCTTATGAAAGATATCCAAAATGTGAGTGAGTTTTAAGGTAACTGAGGTCGTCAGGATTGTCGATAGATTATGAACAATATCAAGACCGATCCCTTTGAATCTGGTATGAGACAATCACAGGGGCAAAAATAGATGCTCACATAGGTGTGAGTGTTGAAATTTTTGTGTTTGTTTCAATTTTTGTTCAATTTTACTTCCCTTTTCTTGACCTATTCTTTCCTATTTCTTTCTGCTCGTCAGCTGATTGCGTGATCAACCAGAACTGAGCAGAAAAACTAAGCCTTGCTCAGGCTTTATTCCTTAGCAAAGAAGTCTGTGGAAGGGCTGATCCACCTGTTTGGTTTATCTCAGCTGCTCAGCTGATCCTGAGCGTCATTCCCTGGCTCAGTAGGCTCCAAGGAACACCACTTATGATTAGCTTAGGGGCTGAGCTGACCTGAGTATCCTCTTGGCTAATTCTCCGCAGCATCCCTTGGATGGATCACATAGGGCCAGCCTTGCCTCAGGCTTCATGGCTCCGGAATGAAGCCTGATGCCCATCTGCTCAGTTGACCAATGCTGCTCAGCTATCCCTCAGTGGCATTCCTGAGACCAGAAGGATCCCAAGGATTTCACCGCTCATGGGCTGAGGGGCTGCTCATCTAGTCCCCAGGGGCATTCCTGGGATCAGAAGGATCCCAAGGATGTCACTGAGTATTGGCTGAGGGGCTGCTCAGCTGCTCAGCTAGTCCTCAGGGGGATTCCTGGGATCAGAAAGATCCAAACAATGTCACTGAGTATTGGCTGAGGGGCTGCTCAGTTGACCTCAGTGAAACAATTTGAAGCGGATAATGATTTACGCTTTTAGAGCAAAATAAAACCTGGGCAGACAGGTGTTGATGATGAGCTCTATGAAAAGACTCAAAATGAAACACTGGGCGGAATGAAATCTACGCCTTACCTGCAGAAGTGCAGGATGAAAAGAGCGGAAAGATCTTGAGCTATCTATTCCTAACGTTCACACTAAGACTATGTAAAAAGAAGGAAAACAAATAACAAGAGAACACTAGTTTACCTGGACAGACAGGTGTTGATGATGAGCTCTATGAAAAGACTCAAAATGAAACACTGGGCGGAATGAAATCTACGCCTTACCTGCAGAAGTTCAGGATGAAAAGAGCGGAAAGACTATTTGAGTAGAGATGAGCACACATTCAGGTAAACCAGTATAGTAGAGAGAAAGAGTGAAAGTACGTACTCTTGAGCTATCTATTCCTAACGGTGAGGAAGGAAGAGAGAGCTCAAGAGAGACGCGGTATAAGAGTTAAAAATCTCAAGCACACACAGTATGGTTGGTAGTGCCGAGAAGCGTCAAAGGTCGGACCAGCAGGTATTACTCTGCCAACTTGCGGCTGAGCCACAAAATTCACTGAATTTGGGAGCCAAGGATACTGTTGGACTCCTGACATTGATGGCAATCCGGATATGCCGTTGGAAATTCAATATTTGAACTTCTTGTTTTAGTTGGTTTCTACAACATAACTAAATCTTGTCATGAAGTGTAGTTTTTGATAAATATCTGGTCCGAGATTTGACGCTTCTCGACACTAGCAACCATACACATGAAAAATCTCAGCACAGGGATGAAACAAACGCGCGCAAGAGTATGTAAGGGGCTATTCTCAAAGAGGAAAAAGAAACACATAAACCTGACGCATAATTATCCTTCATTCCAGCCACCTTCCCAATCTAGACACCTTCACTTATCCTGATCGAGTTAGTTCCTTACGGTGAAACTAATCATCACTTTCATATCTCAACCATGGGGTTGTTCACTTCTAACAACTGAGAGCGTACACCTGAGCTGATTGTGAAGGACTTGAACAGACACCAGTACATTACCACAACACTCAGCCCCTCAGTGTGAGCAGCTTTGTCCAGGGGACATCACTTAGGATTAGCTGAGCGGCTGAAATAAACTGAGCAGGGGGATGGCTCTTTTATGAGGCTTCATTCCTTAGCAAGGAAGTCTGAGGAAATTCTGGCCCATCAGTGAACCAGCCAGGGGATGCTACTGATCAAGTATTTCCTGAGCAGCTCAAATTGGATGGCCCCTGTGCAGGCTTCTTCACTAAGAAATGAAGCCTGAGGAAGGTGTAGTTCATGTGCACATTTTCATTTTGACCAAATTGCTGAGTATTCAGTGACTCATGAGCTGATCCTGAGTACTCATCTGGACTCAGTTATTGCTCATCCAAGATGGAAATGAGCCTTCTCAAGAACTGTCAAGCAAAATGTGAGCAAAACAGGCTGATCACCTGAACACAACCAAAATTGTGAATTGAATGGATCTGAAAGAAAATGAATCTTTTTTGGAGACTTCAAAAAAGTCTACAACGCTCACATACATGTGAGCATCAATTTTGGCCCCTGTGAATCATACGATTGCGAGTTGATACAATCTCAGATCTCTTATGAGGTCAATAAAACTAAGAAATCATGGGGTTTGAATAAGTCATCCAAATCCATTCAATTTGTCTATGGTCCTATGACCAAGCTGAAAAATGATCTCAGTTCTCTCAAAGACATTCAAAATCTAAAGATCGACTGGTTTTGCTCGGTCAAATCCAATTGACCTTCCTTTGTTCCTATTCAAGGGATTGTGAACAATCTCAGCTCTCTGATGTAATCTAGAGACTGATGTTTTCAACAAAATCCAAGTCGATTGATTTGCTTGTGATCCTATGAAGAAGATTGAAATGATCTCAATTTTCACATCAACCTTATCTAGAATTTCTTGATTCTAATTCCTATACAATGACAAGCTTCTCTGAATACAATTCATCTATTATAAACAATCTAGCTCATTAATTCAGCTGTAAAGGTCTTATGAGCTGCCTTCCGGATCCGTTCAACTGGATTTGACTTAGATGATGAAACTTGTGATCTTCGAACATCAAACTTCAGCACATGCTGCAAACTCAATGGTGTTCAACTTGGGACAGTGTGGTGGTAGGTATTGAAGAAGGATACCTAGAGAAAATATTAGGAATTATCAGTAAGTTGAATGAAATGAACTGGAGAGAGAAATGGGAGGAATTGAAGCAGTAGAGTGTATCTTTTTCCTTACAGAGATCAGCAGTCAATTGCCCATAATAGATAGACGTGTTAGTTCAGTTTAGTGAGCAAAACAAAGTCATCGACAGGGATTTGAGGCATATGAAAAATTGTTGGTGGCAGTGGGGTAATCAAGAGGATGGAACGGATGGGAGCTCAAGCGCACCCTAAAACTTTTTTCTCTCTGCTGTGTTGTGACTGCTGCGGTGAAATTTGTTTTTATTTTTTCTTGATCGGGCCAAGCTTTTTAGCAAAAGTAATAAAGACAAATATCATCCATATCCCAGGACTCATTATTGCTCTCTCCTTGAGCATCAGAAGGTTCTTTATTGATTGATTCTATAGTTGGAGTGCGAGTGAAGTTGGAGAAGTCGAAAAGGGTATCAATAAATCCCATATGATCATGTACTTCGGTATCTTCCTCCTCAGCCAGAGCATGCAGATCAAAAACACCCTTTTCAAACTCCTGTAACCCATATATCCATGCAAATATTGCTCCATCCAGCTCATCATTGTTGTCTTTGTTCTTTTTGACAATAGCAATATCTTGGTTGAAAGCTTTAGCAAGAGCATGCTCAGCCTTCACAGCAAGTTCAATTTGAGAGATCATCACCAATGTTGATGTCTTCATTGTGTGTCAATCTTTTGTTTTTGTCGCGCCCATCATCAAGAATATGCTTTCAACACCCGCAGCATGTG